TAAAAATCTAGGGATTTTTATTGAAAATATGTTTTTATTTGAAACAAATAGTATTTGATTTATTTGACATGTAAATCGTTCGACATAAGCCATAACAGGAACAAATCGAAATTTGACTATGTGGGAGAGAGAAAAAAATAAATAAATAAATAAATAAATAAAAAGAAGAAAAAGATCAAGTTACGTTATTTATCATTAAATTTATCGTTTCATTCGTTTCACAGACGAACAATAACAAAATAAAAACATATTAAAAATTTGTCCGAATAAATGAGAAGATTAAAAAAGAAAAAAAATCGTGTTGTATTATTTATTATCAAATTTGTCGTTAAATCTTCTTTACGTAGAATAAGAAAATCAAGAAACTCTTTAAAATGCTCAGGATGAAGATGAAGCTTATCCCGATTAAAGACAAAGAACTTTCGGATCAGAACGGTTGACTTGCGTCTTTCAATTAGGGGTTGCTGTTCGTTTTTCTCTTAGCCACTCAACGAGAGCTAATAACTCTTTATCGGAAGTAACGAGATCTCATGAGGTGCAATCAAGCAAATAATAAGCGATATTACCGAAGCGTTTCATCGACTAAGGTATATAAGTTACACGTATGTAGGTATGTAACCGCTACCAATAGCCAATTCCGTTTAACCGACGATGTGGCTGAGGTAGTTGGAATAATGGCGAACCGATATCGTAAAACGCTACATTGTCGTTATCATCGACACGAGTATATATTCTGCATTACTGTAGTCCATATTCCTTATATGATAACGTATACGTACATACATGTATACGTACGTGTAAATGATTATATGATTTATCATTGTGATTTTGAAATTGAAAATTGTATTTTTTATTTTATTTTATTCTTCTTTTTTTTTTTTTTTTTTTTTATTTTTATATGACTGACAACAAAAATATTCTTATCCGCATTGAATTTATATTATATGTATTATATTGTAATATATATGTATATAGCTATGTCAAGGTATTAATATACGTTATAGTTAATATATATCCTAACATAACATATATTATTATTATCGATAATAGTACACTATTAATTAATATATAAAACATAAAAAATTAATTAAATTTTGCAATATATCTAATATAAATGTAATACATAATTACGGGTACGTTCATGTTTATATGTAAAATATAAAAGTCGAATTAGAAACTATATCGTACCGACTTACGAATGAAATACGGATGACCTAGAAAGAATCGGGCCAAGAAATTTCAAAAGAAAATTTTCACAAATGAGCCGTAACAAACATTATCCTTAGGGTATTAGTTTCGCAATCTCATCAGGAATTATTTAAGGATGTCGAGAAAAGGGAAAAACCATTGGGATGTGGTTGGTATCATTCTCAGATTCTTTCAACTATAACCAAGCTTCTCCAGAAACCAAGAAATCGTTTACTACAGTCCTGTGGTAATCGTCGCCGTTATTCTGATTTATACGAGTGAACGATCCTATACGCTCGTTTTCCGAGAGACTTTCCAAGGAAAGAGAATTTTGTGCTCAAAAAATACGAACGAGAAGGAAAAAGAAAAAGAATGTGAATGAATGAAAGAAAAATAAAAAGGAAGAAAAAAGAAAAAGAAAAGGAAATAGAAAAAGAACCGAGGGGAAAACGTTGCCTCGGACTTTTAAGGGCTGCTTCATCCTAAATTCAATAAGACGAGACGACTTTAATTTAAACTACGACGAAACTCAATTTTAAGCTACGCCTTCTCATCTCCTTTTCGTTTTCCAACTTGAATCGATCTCACTTTTATAAATATACATCGACGTTTATAAATTTCGCAAAATTAATAAATAATAAAAATATGAAAAAAATATTCGCCAATAAGTCATTTCGATTCTATTATTAAATGTTCGCACAATGCGATATTAAATAACAGAATTAAAAAAAAAAAAAAATAGAAGAATAAGAAACGATAAAATGAAAATGTAAACTGGAAAAGAACAAAAGGTTTTTAAACGAAAGAAAAAAAAAAATTTCGGTAATTGTTTGTCGTTCCTAGATGAGTTTCGAATAATCAATTAATCTTTTTTCGATGGTTTTTTCGAGCTTATTATATTTTTCTTTCCATTTTTTTTTTTTTGTTCAGATCGTCAGAAAGTTCCATTATAGACATTTGTAGTTTTACGATACGAAAAATAAGAAATTACCTAAAAAGAAAGGAAAAGAAAGAAAAAAAAAGAAAAAAAAAAAAAGAAAAAAAACAGACAAACGTCTCGAAGAGATTTAATAGGAATAATTGATTTTTAATACTCGTTTAAAAACTATCGATCCGCTAATTTATTAAGAAATTTGAATGCTTACACCGAGAAGATGCTTTTGTTATTTTTCAGCAGAATATAATCAACTTTTAGAAAATCATTACAAAACGGAAGGATTTATTTTGTATATTGGCGAAGAGGGTGAGTGAAGGGCGGAAAAAATAAGTACGTTGAGAGAAAATAAATTCTATTGATAAAATACTTTTCACCGAAAAGTATTCTCTTTCGAAGTTATAAAAACGTAAATACATGTATAGTCGAAAGACATCGTGGATAGGTGTGGTGGATGATGGGGGGGTTTCACTCGTAGACGTCATTCGTGAGATTGTAGGTTAATAGCGTCAGTTAATACAAGGGAAGATCTATATGATACAATGTAACAACTTTGGAACTGGGTATTTCGAGCGTTATCTCGAAAGAAAAATACAAAAAAGAATTTCTTTCTTTCTTCCTTTCTGTTATTTGAAAAGAGAAGTGTGATAGATAAAAAGAAAATGATAAAGATTGGATACAAAAAAGAATCGATTTTTGTTTTATTTATTTTTATTCGTAACTCGAGAGATGATTGTCGATATTTATAAAAATAAAAAACTTATTATTTTTTTATTTTTTTTTATTTATTTATTTATTTATTTTTTTTTTTATTTGTTATTTTTTTATTTTTCTCCAAAAAAGAAACAAAAATCTCAATGGTTCTCTGACATTGTTACGTTCGATCTTATCAACCATGAAATTATGTTTAATCAATCATAATTTCCAATGCATAAATAAGTACCGTATGTCATTAACACGTTCACTGTAATTATACATGATGAGTACTTAAGCTGATCTTCAGAGCACGGATTAGTTAATGTCGGCGTTGCACCGTTAGCGTCACGTTATTATCAAATTCATTTAATTATACTAACGAGTACGAGTATGATATATCTTAAATAATATTATACTGTTTCTAACAGATTTCTAAAATAGACTAGGAACTGCGAATGCCAGTCGAATGAATAACATATGAATAAAAAAAAAAAAAAGAAAAAAAAGAAAATAAGAAAGAAAAGAAAAAGAAAAGAAAGAAAGAGAAGAAAAAAAAAAGAAAGAAAGAAAAAAAAAAGAAAAAGAAAAATAAAGAACATATTAGAGAGTATCACGCGCGTCAGACACATTATATTATCAAATTCGCTCAATTATACTAATTTATTGATGTAACCTTAATTAGTATAACTGAACAAGTTATAATACTAATTTTAATTATAATATGATATATCTTAAATTTCAATATACCATTTCTAATGCAAGTTTAATACGAACTCAAGAACTACAAATTTAATCGGAAAGAAAGAAAAAGAGAAAAGAAAGAAAGAAAGAAAGAAAGAAAGTATTATAGAGTTTAGCCGTGCCAGATTGACGTATCTACGTACTTAGATATAAAATCTGTTGTAAAAGTTAGACAATTGTAAAAGTGAATTGCCGAAAGAATAGTCAAATTAGATGAGCACCTCTCCAGTTTTTCTCATACAATGAATCGTATAAACTTTCTCACGAAAGTTACCGAATGCGTGTAACTTTCTAAAGAGTTATGACTTTAAAACTTTTTGGATCTCTCCCTCTCTATCTCTGTTTCTCTCTCTTTCTCTTCCCCCTCCCTCCCTCCGCCCCTCTCTCTCTCTCTACTTTTCTCTGTAAGGTCGTTGAAACTTACTCGTTTCTCTTTGGAAATAGATCGTTCGAAGAGTTGCAAGGGAATGTCGTCACAACTCTTTGGAGTGATATTTCCCGCTCTTTTATATTCTACTTTTTTTTTCTTTCTCTCTCTCTCTCTCTCTCTCTCTCTCTCTCTATATATATATATATATATATATATATATATATATATATATATCTTTTTCATCTTCTACTTCTATTACTTTTGAACGGAGGACGAAAATTTCTTCTTTTTTTTTCTCAAAAGAAAAAGAAAAAGGGAAAAAAAAAGAAAAAAAAATGAAAAGAAGACGAAGAAGAAGAACATAATGATTTCGATATCAATTTTTCTTCGATAAATATGCTGTCACGCGTTAAATCGAATTTCTTAGCTTCCAAAATTATACCATGTATAAGAGGATTTCTATACGATTTGGATGCCATAAAATATGCACCCCGCGAAGGTTTTTTTTATGTTAGCTTGCGACCTAAGATTTCGCGGGGATATAAGTAAATTCGATGAGAAAACATTGATACTTTTTTATAAAAGGAATCTGCCTGGTGTCAACCTTGAAATTGAAATGCATGAGTAAAAGGAGAAAAAAAAACATTTCAAGGTCGAAGGGAACTATTTATCTCGTGAAATTTCTTTTTCCCATTTTACGATCATTGTTGTGTTAAAATGAAAATTAATTTTATCAATTATTTTATCAAGTTTCATTAAGTTTATCAATTATTTTCGATTGCAATATTATTAAAGATTTTAATATATATATATATATATATTTATTTTTTTTTATATATAAAATTGTTCCAAATAAATTGTTGGAATCTGTTTAATTTTATATTTATTAATTATAAATTATAATATTATATATATATATATATATATATATATATATATGTATATATATATATATGTATATATGTATGTATGTATGTATACACGTATGTGTTAAATAAAAAGAAAGTGAAAGTGAGAGAGAGAGAGAGAGAGAGAGAGAGAGAGAGAGAGAATAAAGAAGGTATCTTTCAGGATCGTCTAGTACCAATTACCGAGATTCTCATCCGTGCCCTAGTATCCCTGCTGTCTCTCGAAAACCAGAATTTCAACCCTTTGATATCGCAAGATGCAATCTTGGCTAGCGAACTGCAAACATCCACTTCTAATGCGTACGAGTTGAACCTTTATATGTAGGTATATGTGTATATACTTTGTGAAGAAGCAAAGCACGACTACTAAAAACACTAACCACCCTTTTCAAATCTCGAACAACGTTTACTTAATCAACCTTTTTGAGTAGCCAGGGAAACAAGGAGAGCAAATAAAGGATCGAGCCTTTTCGAAAAGACGTGTTAGTGTTACATCGATTGCAGTGTATATACGTGTGTGTATGTGTGTGCGCGCGCGCGCGTGTGTGTGTGTATGTGTGTGCGAATGTGTACTACTTGTATCACACAATGTTCGTCTGTTTCGATTTTAAGAGTAGTAGAACTAACTTTCTTCTTTCTAATCTTTAATTTTTAAATAAAAGAAAAAGATAAAAGGAGAATTAACATAATCCGATCATTTAAATTGATGCGTCGCTCAAATCCACCGATATTCGAATCTCACGAATCAGTTTTCGTCGATCGATAAATCCATTAAGGCAAAGAATAGCCAAAATAGAAACAGTATAATACGTGCAAATGTTAAAATTGCACCGATTTCCAATTTTTTTCTTTTTCACATTTTTGTTTTCTTTCTTTTTTGTTTTTTTCAATCGATCGATCGAAAAGAGACTTTTGAATTTTGTGTATCTTTTGTAAGTATATCTGTTGTAATATTCCGTAAATATATCGGATGATCATCGTTCAACAAAAATTTTTATCTTTAATTTGATTTAATCATATGATTTAATCTAATCAATTCTAATATTATTATTTTTAGTCGGCACTGAAACCGTCCGGCATTCTAAATTAAGGAATGGAGGGAACGTGGCAGTGGGAGCAGCGAAAGCACTGCCATATCATACTGCTTAATCCTTCGTCGTACGTAAAGAAAAACCCGAGACAAGTTGCAGGTGAGATTTATTCGATTTTATTTTTTATTTATTTATTTATTTATTTATATATATATATATATATATATATATATATACATACATATTATATGTGTTATCCATAAGATGGTCCAGATAAAGTGTTATAATGTGTTTAATTTTTTAAATAATATTATTAATTATAGATCAATCAATTGATTTAATTTGCAACTAGTACGAAAAAAATAAAATTGGCAACTAAATGCGATCGATAAAACTTAATATTTAACTCTATTTTTTATTTATTTATATATATATATATTGTTTTTTATTTATAGTCCGGATAAAAGTGTTAAATCTGGATTTGTTTAATTTTTATTTTAAATAATATTAATCATCGATTTTTTTTTTGTATCGATCATTAATATTATTTAATTTTTACGGTTTATATGAAAAGTTAGGCCAGTTGTAACAGTTTCTAAAACTTAAAAATGCCGTTTATCTTGTAGTTAGCAGTTCACTTCATCACGTCTTTCTTTTGTTTTTCTTGTTTTTCATTTTCTTTTTCTTTAAACTCTTCTCTTTTCTCTTACTCTCATTTATCCTTCATCGCTTGTGTTAACCGGAAAGAAACAAAAGCGATTGACTTTTTAGAACGTTCGAACTCTTTCTCCTTTCTCTTTCTCTCTCTCTCTCTCTCTCTCTCTCTCTCTCTCTCTCTTTCTCTCTTTCTCTCTTTCTCTTTCTTTTTTCTTTCTCGTCGTCAATCAAATTCGATCCTACCAACGCACAAGACCGAAAAGAATATTACTTTAACCCAATTCCGCTTGATCGCTTCACTTGGTGCGACAAAAATAATTTGTTTTCGTCACCGAAACGAATCTCTCATATTCGGAATTGGTATTACACGGATATGTTGTAGGAAATTATTAAAAGGAAAAAGAAATATAAAAAAAGAAAAAAGAAAAAAAGAAAAAGAAAGGAAAGCAAAAAAAGAGAAATGGTTTGGAGAGTATTTCGAGATAAAATGACTCGTTCTGAAACTTGTCAGAAGAAGTAAATCTTTTTTTTTCCTTTCCTTTTTTTACTTTTTCATTTTTCCAGCACGTATAACAAATTGCATCGTTAGAATACTATTTGCACTTTCAATATAATATTTTTTAACGAATATTTCATCCCAACTTTTTGATTAATTCTTTGATATTGTTCAAATGTATTTATATAAAAAAAAAAAAGAAAAAAAAAAAAAAGAAAAAAAAAGTCGCCTAAAAATTTCCTATTACATTTGAGCTCTTCGAAAGGAAATTTTTGACTGCATTTAAATGTACTTAAATTAAAAAGGAAAAGAAAAAAAAGAAGAAAAAACAAATGATATTTATGATCGTATAGAAATTAAAAAATTTGACAATGTGTATCAAATCTTCAAACAAATTTGTTAGACTGCCATCTAACTACAAAATTTAGATTTTTATTTACAAAAATAGAGAAAAAAGAAAAGAAAAAGAAAACAAACAAACAAATAAACTGATACCCTTCAACTATGATCTAACAAGATAATAAACGTTAAAAAAATCGTCATTAAAAGGCGACTTCGTGATTGAATGTTAATGTGTTCATAAAATCGAATCGTAAGATCTCAATTACAGATAAACGAGAACGACTGCAGAACAGTCCTGGCAAGGAAGAAGACAGTAGACCTAAGAGGTGGAACGAAGAAGAACAGGAACTGTAGCGTTGGAAGATTGGAAGGAGCTTCCTTTTTTTTTGTTTTTCGGCATCGTCCTTTGGAAGAAGAAAGAAAGAGAGAGAAAGAGAAAGAAAGAGAGAGAGAGAGAAAGAGAAAAAGAGAGAAAAGGAAAGAGAAAAAGAGGCTCGCAATGGGCCCAAAAGAGCAAAACGTGACTCACTGAGCAATGCAAGTAGTTAGGGCTGGGGCCCTGCTAGTGAGCATGTGGCTCACTAGAGAATGAAGAAACAAAACGTCCGGACCCTATCGTTGATCGTCTCTACATTCACCTACCTCCTCGTCGGCGCTGCGATCTTCGACGTTCTCGAGTCCGAGACGGAGAAACGACGCAAGGAAGCACTGGATGGTATAAAATAAAAACACAATATTGTGGTGAACTTTTAACATCTTTTAATATGTTTTAACATTAGATCGATCCAGTTAATAACAGACTGTAATAGATTAATAGATTATAGGATTTAGAAAAGATAGAATGAAATGAAACATTTATTTCTTTATTTTTAACTTAATCCTATATATATATATATATCTTAAGTTTTTAATTTCAAAAATTTTTGAGTCGTTGAATTTTAAACTATAACATTATATATATATATATATATATATATATATATATTTGTACTAATATAAGTTAAGCTATACTATAATTATATTAGTTATATCATAAACAAGAAATTATATAAAGTTATATCATAACTTTTATATTATATAACTTTTTCGTAGATAGGAAAAAAATTTGGGTTGCATCTGGGTTAGAAAACATATGTCAGACATAAATTATTTTCTTGAAAGTTTTAATAGTCAATAAATAAGGCATCAGTCTAATGTCTAAATTAATATTGTTCAAAATTAAAAAAAAAAAAATTAAAAAAAAGAAAGAAAGAAAATGTTAAAATATATACTGACGTGATCACACGAGAAAAAAAATTCAAGACAGAAAAAGAAAGAACAAAGTGAAATTTTAATTGTTATATTTATCTATTTACAGCCGTTGAGAAAATGGTCATACGCAAGTACAATATCAGCGAGGACGATTTTAAAATCATGGAAACCGTGGTTCTGAAAACGGAGCCGCACAAGGCAGGCCAACAATGGAAGTTTGCGGGTGCTTTCTACTATGCAACCACGGTTCTCACCACAATCGGTGATTATTACTATTTTCTAATACCGTCTAGCGTTGCACTTCGAAAAGTCTTAAACGAGAAAACTTTTCACGAAGATGGCGTGCACTATCGTTAAACGAATGTCTGTCTCACTTTGTGAAGCTTTCCCAGAAACTTTTTCTCAGCTTGTTCGGGTAAGAACTTGACTTTGATAGAGGATATAAAAGGACTTGCCTACGAACTTCTCACTCTGTGGATATGCGAGTTCTTGAAAAGCTCCTCGTGTCTGTGAAGTTGGTAACACGTTTTATACGAATTTCACAATGTTAATAATAATGATAACAGATCGATTAGAGAGAGAGAGAGAGAGAGAGAGAGAAAGAGAGAGAGAGAGAGAGAGAGAGAGAGAGAGAGAGAGAGAGAGAGATGAAAAAAAATCTGAAAAAGAATCAACAATTTTTAAAACATGAATTAACTTGGAAAACTTACCCTCCTCCCCCCATTTACCCATGAACAATTTTTATCTTTTATAGCTCATTAAATAATATTATTATTATCTCTCTAATTGATTAATCGTTTATACAGGTTACGGACACTCAACGCCAAATACCATAAGCGGTAAACTTTTCACGATGTTCTATGGAATCGTTGGAATCCCTTTAGGGCTCGTGATGTTCCAGAGTATAGGTGAACGCCTTAACAAGTTCTCATCCGTTGTAATACGGAATGTGAAGAGTCTTCTCAATTGTAAGGATGTCCAGGTAAAATTTATCAAAATTTCTCATATCTATTAACATATAACAGATGCGAAAAATATAAGAAATATATTTTTATTTAAGTAAATAAATATCTATATTAATTGTTATAGGCTTCAGAGATAAATTTAATCTGCGTTGTTACGACCTTGTCGTGTCTGACCATCGCCGGTGGTGCAGCAGCTTTCTCCAGATACGAAGGGTGGTCTTATTTCGATTCCATTTATTATTGCTTCATCACTCTGACGACCATAGGTTTTGGTGATATGGTAGCTCTTCAAAAGGACAATGCTTTGGACAATAAGCCAGAGTACGTAATGTTTGCCTTGATATTCATCCTATTTGGATTGGCCATCGTTGCGGCCTCCCTTAATTTATTGGTCTTGAGATTCGTCACGATGAATACCGAGGACGAAAGACGAGACGAGGCCGAAGCATTGCAGGTGATACATCTTATTTATTATAAATTAATACGACTTAAAGCGTGTTTAATTCTTTGAATGCTGAATACTACTGGCGCAAGCGATTCGCGTTTAGCGCCTAGCAATTTCGATCGTTGAAGACGGAATACTTTTTTCGTTAATGTTAATTCCATCGATTGAATACGCAAGGCACTATTACTTACATAATATAAGAATAAATAAATTATTTCATTCAAAACATTAAAATATAAACCATATTTTAACTTGAAATAATTTCAAACGTGAGAGTGAGAGTGAGAGAGAGAAAGAAAAAGAGATAGAGAGAGAGAGGTTGATAAAAATTAATAAACGCATATATGCGTCCATAGTCCACAACGTGGTCGCTTTCGTTAAACGCATATATGCGTCCATAGCACTGAATGAGATAATAATAAGAAATATTACGATTACTTGTCGGCTTAATTTATAGGCAGTACAGGAAGCAGTACGTTTGGAAGGTGATGTGATAACAGCAAACGGCTCGATATTGTCGGAGCGAGTCGGTAATCACGGTGAAACAGTTTCGTTGGACGACGAGGCATCAGTATGTAGCTGTCGCTGTAGCGGCTTTCAAAAGAAACGCCGGAGACAACGTTTTACGGTTCGTCGCTCACCCGGCAAGATTTCTCATCTATTACCGATGCAGCAATTTTCACAACCGAATCAACGAGCCGAATTGAGACCACCCCAGTTGGCGTCATTGTTACAATTACAAATGTTGCATCAACATCGTGCCAGTATCTGACAACGTTCTCGTGCTTCTTCGTTAAATTCCATAGAACGTAAGCCAAGACGAGAGTCCGTCTGATCGTACATCATAGAATAGCGGAAAAATTTCGATGTTCGATCAAGGACCAAGTCGACGGCCAAACTAAGTCGTGTTCAACAACGTGTCTCGTCTTGTTGTCAATAATTTCGATGTAATTTTTAATAGACGGCACTGATATCAACAGTTTAACTTTCTTCGTGGATAAAAACAGAAAAAAAAAAAGAAAAGAAAAGACAAAAACCAAACAAAAAGGAAACGAACTATGCTGTCTACTGTGCACCAACAAGCACCTCGTTCGAACGTCAAAGAAACAACGTCGGTGGAGTATGAAACAAATTGCGTACAGCTTGGCTCTTCCTTTCATTTTCTACTCGGACGAACATTATTATATACGTTAATCCATTGATTTCATTTTACATCCGATAAAGTTAATTCGTATCTCTTATCTTAAATTATTATACACGTACTTATCTGTGTCCCTGAGTTATCACAGTAAAAATATACCTATACGTTTTGTTTATTAGATTGACAATCGCCGTATAAAATAATTGTAATGGAGTGAAGTAGAGAAAAAAGATAGATAAAGAGAGAGAGAGAGAGAGAGAAATAGAGATTCATTTGTCCGAGTTCCACTGATCGTCGTGTAAGCCCAGACGTATTATATGTAATACATGATAGATAGACGTTCCACGTGCGGAGCAATTTTCTTGCCTTTCATCGAGAAGTAATATCTATTTGAATATTTTTTAATGTCAAAGAATATATCTTTAGTATTTCAAATTTCGACATGGTATATGTATGTACACGAGGTATAAGTAGTATCAATGTTGAAGAGTGGTTAGTAGCGAGCCAGCCGAACGTTTCCACGCGTGTATCGTGGCGACGAAATTTAAAAGTTAGAAGAAAAAGAAAAGAAAGAGGAGAGAAAGAGAAAGAGAGAGAGAGAGGTGAGAGAGAGAGAGAGAGAGAGAAGAAAAGAAAAGAAAAGACAAAACCAAAGAAAAACAAAAAAAGCTTTAATGAAGACGACCAACCTCCCCAATAAACAAACAAATAAACAAATAACAATCTCGGATCGTTCGACGACTCGTTACAATAACAAAAAAAAAAAAGAAAGAAAAAAAATGAAAAAAAAAATAATAAAAAAAATAAAAAAAATAATTATTGATAACGGTCTCCAGTATGTTTCTAATGAGAGCTCGTCATATTTGTATATGACGTGCATCGTGCACCGATTCGTGATCGATGATAAAATTCGATGAGAAGCCAAACGATTCGATGCACCGAATTGATTGTTACTTCGTTCGATCACAAATTAATAATAATAATAATAATAATAATAATAATAATAATAATAATAATAATAATAATAATAATAATAATAATAATAATAATATTAATAATAATAAAACGAAAGGGTGAAAAGAGGTCAGCTATATTACACTTCATACGTCTCTGTTATTATCGACTACAAAGTAAAAACCAAAAAAAAAAAAATGAAATAAAAAAAAAACTTAAAAATCAAGAGAGTGACGTATGAATTCGAGATTTGTAATATATTAGAATTTTAGTTATACATATATGAAACACAACGATCTTACAAGATCGGGAGTCATTTTTATGAATACGAGAAGTACGATATATACACATGAGACTTAGTAGAAACTAAAAGAAAGATGTAGAAAGAGAGAGAGAGAGAGAGAGAGAGAGAGAGAGAGAAAATAAATGAATAAAAGAAAAAAGGGGGGGAGAGAGAGATAGAACGAATTTGAGAAGCGTCTAACCAATTCCATTTCTAATTTAGCACATTCATTTTAATTCTGAGCTCATCATTTGAGGCATCACATTTTTTCTTCCTTTATGAACAAAATAAATATCTTAAAATTTTTGAAATAATTGTTACGTAGAAAGAAACCTTAAGCCCCGATCCGTTACGACGTTAAATGCCCGCCAATCTTTTTGACAAATAATATTTGTATACATTTCTCCGCTTGTTATAATCATAGAGTAGATATTATTTGATCGGTGGAAAAAAGATAAAAAGAAAGAGATAGAAATAGGGAGAGAGAGAAAGAAAGAGGAGGGGAGAGAGAGAAAGAGAGAGGAGGGGAAAGAGAGAAAGAGAGAAATACACTCCCAACTGTTCATAACTTAAAAATAAAAATCGAATTAAATTAATGGCACGTGAATATTAAATGGCGTTTTTAAATCGATAAAATTTTGTAATAAATCAACCAAAAATATACGTATTCGTTTTTTTTTTCTTTTTTTTTCTTATTTTTTTTTTTTTAATTCTTTGTAGACGGAGATATCACGGGAATGTCAAGGTTCGTAATAGAATATTCCGTGAATAATCTCTAATCGTAGGACGATAATTTGGCCGAGAAAATCCAGCGATCTTGCATAATTCATTTTTTTTAAACGTTGCTAAATGATAATACGATGCCAGGTGCAAAAAAAAAGGAAGAAGAAAATAATAATAATTATAATAATAATATTAATAATATTAATAATATTAATAATAATAATAATAATAATAATAATAATAATAATAATAATAATAATAATAATAATAATAATAATAATAATAGAACGACCATCGAAAATTGTCTACCCCTGGAATCCGTTTTCCCGGAAATATCTCTCTATTATTGGTAGCACCAAATGCCTTCTTTTTAAAAACCATTTAAGATGAATATTAATCGATCGATAATGCACAATATTTTAAAATAAGATTCTGAAATGCGTTTTAAAATCCGAATCCAGAGTAACAATGAAAAAAAAAAAGAAGAAAAAAAAAGAAACAGAAAGAAAGAAAGAAAAAAAGAAAGAAAGAAAGAAAGGAAGGAAGGAAGGAAGGAAGGAAGGAAGAGCGATTAACACACAGAAAAATCGTTATTTAACGCTAATTAAGTCAAAACCTTATCTCTTCGCTTAATGTTTAAATAGAAAGGCCGCGTAATCGGCTTTATACACATAACGAATTTCTTTAAAAACAAAAATCTCGTTCAATTTGTAAATGATGTGCCTGCTTAAAGTGTCAAAAGAGATAGAAGAAGAAGAAGAAGAAGAAGAAGAAGAAGAAGAAGAAGAGGAAAAAAAAAAGAAAAAAGAGAAAAAGAAAAAGAAACCAATGAATGATTATTAAATTGCTCCGAAATGATTATATTATTATTAGTACGGGCAAGTACAAAAAAGGACCCGTAGATAGTAAGAAGGAGAAAAATAAGAAAAGTAATTTCACGGTTATGCGAATTTTAGATTTAATCATCCGGTTTAATCATTATTATCGAGTCATTATGTTTCGAATTATAATTCGAAACTAATAGCTAACTCAAAACAAAGTATATCAATCAAAATCGATATCTTTCGTCGATATGAACTTCTTACATACATAAATAAATACGAACGAATCTCGCATGACAAATTTATTCGAATTTTTTGCGCTACGTTAATTAAAAAAAAAAAAATAAAAAAATAAAAAATACAAATCACGTGAAAATGACGACGACATTATTAGGAGAGATTGATTGATTGATTGATTGATTGATTGATTGATTGATTGATTGATTGATTGATCGATTAATAGAATGTTCATTAGTTAAATCGGTTTTTTACAAATTTAAAAAATTATATAATTCCTGTGAATAATTCGAATATTCTAATATACATGATATATCAGTAAAATCGATCGAAATAATCAATTATTGCGTAATAACTCTTATGTAAAATCTTGTTTCTTCATGAGAAAAAAACAACAACAACAACAATATATATATTTCATACTATTCATGTATTCAGACTATATATATATATATATATATATATATATATATATATATTTCTTATATTGATTACAATTCGTATAAAATTAATTTGTCCATTATTTTTTACAACAACCGAAGTACACATACTCTCATTATAGATAGGATTCGAACGATCAATTCTAATGAAATAAACCGTTGCCCATTTAATATTTATAAAATGAAATTTACTATGTTTCAGTGTGTCACGGTAGTTGTAAGAAAAAAAGAAAAAGATGATTTTTTATCTACCACAATACATATTATGAAACGACCATAAAATATCACATACGAAAAGAGAGAAAAGGAGAAAGAGAGGAGAGAGAGAGAGAGAAGAGAGAGAAAGAGAGGAGAGAGAGAGAGGGAGAGAAAGAGAAAGGGATAAAAGAAAGAGAATAACAAATCTATTAAAAATAATCTCAAAACCAGGGTGAATACATAAATACGCTCGTCGAAAGACACTACCTATCGATTGTAATATAATGTAATATATTATTAAGATACACAGAGATGGTGGTTGAAATTTCGAGTCTAATTTGACAACTTGTAAATAAGCGTTTTTTGAATAATTCAAGGATACATATATAAGATATGTACAATAAAATATGCCGATATATTATATCTAGAATTCTACGACGTACATATATATGTATATATATATGCATATATATATATATATATATAGCTCATCTTTCAAATTTCTTTTTTTAGTAAATAACGATAAAACTTTAATGTTAATATCATAGATGACCGCTTACTCGAGACGCAAAGATCGCATTTTATCTCTAATATATTAAACATATTTAAATTTCTCTTATTAAAGAAAAAAAAAAAGAAAAAAAAAAACCGTAAGAAAAATCCAAAAAAAGAAAAGAAAAGAATCTGAGTACGTCGTCAATGTAATTTTGAGATTTAACGTATCACTTAGTAAGTTTCATTAATAAATTTATAGAAATGGAATTCTTATAAGAAGGAAAATGATCGAATTGATTATAAAACGTATATGAAAATTAGATATTTCGTTAATATCCATATTGTAATTGAACAATTAAAAATTTCTCCTCGTTTCATAAATAATAAAAACAATATTTGATAATTGCGAATGTTTTTTTATTTTCTATTTTTTTTTTTTTTTCGTTTATTGCAATTCATCTTGAATGTAATTCTATTCGTAAAAGCATGCAACAATGATAAAACATAACTCTGTATATTGTTATTATTATAATCGTACAAAAAACAAAGTTTATTAAAATAATTAGGAGAGAACATTTCCTTCTTATAATTCGAGTGATTTGTCAAAATGAACTTTTCAATGAAAAATATTATGTGCATTAATAACAAAGAATCGTTAATAATATTTGCAATTTTAAATTTTATATTGTTTTTTTTTTTTTATATTTTTCGTCTCGCTGTAAGATAATATTCATTTTTTGATTACTGTGTCGCAATAATGATGCGATATAATAAGGAACAAAAAGAAAAGGAAAAAAAAAAAAGAAGAAGAAAAAAAAAGAAAAATAGAGTAATCATTGATTGAATCTTTCGTTGACTTTTTGCCAAAATTTGTTTACGTCGTGATTCCACTTTTTTCTTAATGCACAAGAAAAAAAAGACATATGTAAATAAATTAAATACAAAGAGATGATATAAATCGAATATTTAGCGATGTGAAAATAAAAAGTTTTCACATTTTTAATCTCGCATTAGCAGGTAACGAACACCATAAAGAGAAAGAAAGAGAGCGAGAGAGAGAGAGCGAGAGAGAGAGAGAGAGAGAGAGAGATTGAGAAAAATATAAAGATGAAGTATTGTTCGCATTAACTCGAATATATATATATATATACATGCATACTTACATGCATACATGCAGTATAATACAGTAATAACGATGATTGCTATAAATTTACGTTATCATCGTTGGATAATATGTAAAATTAATTAAATAACAACGGAAAAAAACGAAAGAGAAAAAGAAAAATAATCAAGACATTTAATCATGCAATGTTGCTATAAGTGTTATAGCATAAGTAGTCTTTAAGAATACCATAGCTATGAAATTTCATAAGTAATATCAATATAATTCTATAAAAAAAGGAGAAACAATCGAAAGAAAGAAAGAAACAAAGATACACAGAAAAACAACAACAACAACAAATTGTTAATTACGTATTTACGGTTATTTGAAAGAAAGGCAAGCGAATTATTGTCTTGTCTTAATCGTAATATAATCTTAATTAATTCGTTCATAGGTTGATAATGCGAAAAATTAGGGAGGTAGTAGGGAGGTGGGGAAGGTGTGAGAGATGTAAGACCAAATGTTAAAGAAAGAAGAACAAAAAAAAAAAGAAAGAAATTCGTGCAAAGAAACAACCATAAGTTCACGATAATAATAAGATAATATCTTCATGGTGATCGTACCACTACTTTTTGCCAATACTGACTATTATGCTTCCTTGCGAATTACGTATGCTTTTTTATTTTATTACGATATTTAATATCATTCTCTTCTCTCCATATAGAAATATATACTTATATATTTACTTACATTGTTCGCTGTTGCGAGGAACGATTTACTTACCATTTTTGTAAAGTTAAAGAAAGAAAGAAAGAAAGGAAGAAAGAAAGAAAGGGAAAAAAAAAAAAAAAAAAAAAAAAAAAAAAACATACAGAGAAAAAACCATATTAATTGATCTTCCAAACCTTGTATTTAAAATGTTCAGATATAATTAAGACTTATTAACAATTATTGGAATGGATTATCGACCGATAGTTTGTACAAAAAGACAACCAAAAACAAGAAAAAAGGGAAAAAAGAAACGACAACAACAAAAACATTTCTCATTATAAACGCTAGATATAGTAAAACTCATCGTTCGGTTTCCTCTCCCCGACAATTGTGAAAGAAATAAAGCATGAAAGAATGAAAAGGAAGAAAAAAAGAATTTAAGAAAAAGAAATCGATGATATACATTAGTTCGAAAAACGAAAACTTGTAAAAAGATAAAACAAACACACAATCATACATATACACACACATATACATACATTACGTATTTATAATAGTATCCATATAATTACTTGTAAGATAAAGGAAGACAGTTAAACAGACATTATTGAGTAACGAACGAACGAACGAACGAGACGAATGAAAGCAAACGAAGAGAATTTAAAACAAAAATATATAATCCTTTCAGCACGCGCGCGCGCCTTAATGAGCGATTTCGATGTAAACAAAAATCTGAAAGGAGACCACATATCCCTCACTTTCATGTAATTCTTATTTAATTAAATAATAATAAAAAAAAATAAAAAAAAATAAAAAAAAAAATAAAAATAAAAATAAAAAAATAATAATAATGGAAAAAAAGAAAAATGAAAAAAAAGAAAGAAAGAAAGAAAGAAAGAAAGACAAAAAGACCACACACAAAGTCTAACAAAAAGAAATGACAATGATAACACATCACGCCGAATAATTATATTAAAGATAAAAATAAAGAAAGGAAGGGGGAAAACTTACATAAATACATATACATACATAAATACATACATACATATACACATATTCATACATACATACATACATACATATATAAATACATATACAGATTAGTACGTAAATAAACAAAATAAAATAAATCTTGTAAAAACATCGAGTTAAACAACTGAATTATTAGGCGAAAATGAAAAGAAAAAGAAATAAAAGAAAGAAAGCGAGAAAAGAAAAAAGAAAAGAAAACGGGAAAGGGAATAAAGGCTAAAAAAACGCGTTCGTGCGATTCGAAATAGGTTCCAAAAATCTGCCTGCACACACCGCCACGTGTACTGACATTTAAGTGGATCGTACTTTGTAAATTACTATGGACTTCGTAATTATATGCTAGTATATATATATATATATATATATATATATATATATATATATATAAATATACATATATGTATATATGTATGTGTGTATATACACATACATATAAAATACGAGTATAAAATTGTATATGTGTATACACGTGTATATATATATATATATGTATATATATATATATATATATATATATATATATACATATTATACGTAAATACATGTGCTCTGCCACAATAAAGCAGTTTTTTCTAATCTAAAAATTAGTTGTGCTTTTTACGTAACCCAACAGATAAATAAATCCGTATGATCTTTAGATCATCAATCAAAATTCACATCTGAGTCTTTGCATTCGATTTTCGTATACATACATACATATATACATATGTATGTATAGTGTACGAGTATTGTGGATGTGAAAACAAGGCTCGGGGCAAGTTGGAAAGGGCAGGACAGGTCATTGATATCTTTAACAGAGTATCGAGAGAGGTTACTTGCTGAGCCGCAATGACAAAGAAACGTGACGGTACTATGTTTATCCTACTCCCACGATTTCGTGCGGCCATTGTTGAGCCATTGTACGTGCTTAATTTTACGAGATCCTACGGAATAAAATATTAAGAATAAATAAATAAATATTACATTTGTTATTTGTTTATTCATTAATTACGTAATAACATCGTAAATTTATTATTTCATTAAACATTGTTCAATACGATCGTCATTTAATAATTAATTTTTTTCGCTTTTATTAGTAATTATTTTTTTTATTTTTAAAAATTATATAAATTCATATGTCAACGACGGCACTAGTAAAGAACATAGATGATTTATCACACTCAAACTTTGACAGAATCGTCGCTGACAGACGTTATTCGATCGTATATCTGCGAATGTATATCCTAGGGTCGGGGTAATAGGGCATGAAAACTTAATATGCAGCGGTAACTCGGACAACCTCTGAAACACCTGTTCGATCGATTGAGTTGAAATGGATACGTACTAGTTCCTTCGTTTTCTTCCTTTTTCGCCTTAGCATTACCTTTGCAACGATATTTCAATTATTATTATTTTTCTTTTCTTTCTTTTTTTTTTTTTTTTTTTTCTTTTACTTCTACGTACATAAATACATCGTAATTATTATACATATTTTATTATTAATATTATACTTAAGATAAATCGTAAAATAATTTTATACGATCGATTAAACGTAATTTAGAAACATTTACGGAATAAAAAGGGAAAATGTTATAATATAACAGAGGAGGAAAAAAAAGGAAGAAATTTAATAATTAACTCGATTGACAATTCGAAAAAAGCGCGCAGAGTATGTTACGCCAAAGAAGTTGTGCTATTGGTGGAAAGTAGGACGAAGGGAAAAAGGAATGGTACGCGTCGTTTTCCATAAGCCTCGTGTGTTAAGGCGGTTGGCTTGACTAACGAATCACGAAGCTACTGCGATCGATACATAGGACGTTCGGTGGAGTTACGAATAAGAACCGAAGAGTACCGAAGTTAGTCGAAGCATTACGGAAAATACCGAGCGTAAGCGAAACGTAGAAGGGAGGAAACGACGCGTATGCGAACGACGCCGAGGTCTTCTCCGGCTTTGGTTGAAAGAGTGTTCGCGTCTACGGGCGCGGCTTTTGCGTCTCGAGCTGGCGTTTTACACGGGAAAATGTCCTCCCTCGACTATCTCGACTTGTGTCGACTCTGTCTCGTGAAGGACCGTGTCTCCGTGCCGATATTTGAGGGCGAGGGCGACGTAAGGCAAATTTTTCTCAAGATAACCGCCTGCCTACCGGTCAAGGTAAGCCTACTGCGCCATAGTCTACATTGTACCGTGGACCCTCCCTCCGCAAAGAAATCGCCATCTTGTCGCCTCTTTCGCGGACTTACCACTTCGATGAACTTATATCAATGTTCTGACTTTTTGGACTCCCGGTATATTTTCTACCAGATGCAAACACATTTCAGACTCGACACGCGCCTCGAATGCCGTTAAGCGAAATTAAGGCGGTCCAACAATGCTGAGGCTGTTATGCTGTGGATACGTCCTTTCATTTCTATCTCTCTCTCACTCTTTCTCTCTATCTCTCTCTCTCTCTCTCTCTCTCTCGATTTATCTATCTCTATCTATCTTTATCCAACTTACGCTTGCTTATGTATATATATATATATATCTCCATCTTTTTCTCGCTCATGGTCCTAGAAATTTTTCGATACTTTTGCCGCGCTTTTTTTTTAACGACTCATAGTTTCAGACATTTTCATTATGCGATTCATATTAAATAATTACTAAATCATTTCTTAATATTAAGCGTAGAATAATCGTTTCAAGGAATATTTACTTTGGCGAAGTTGAAATGGGGGACATTGATCGTACAAATGTTTTCGACATTTTGTTGAATCAGATGCATACTGTTTATTTAAAAAGTATACTCATTTTTGTGCAAATACGAATTATATTTCATTTTCTTCATTTTCAATGCAACGTCTTAATTTCCATCGTAGAAGAGAGACTATTCTGATCTAAGCGTTGTATAAACATACTCGAAACGGTTAAAATAGAAATGTTTAATATGATAAAATCGATTTATTTCTAGTACCTTCATTCACTTAATACTCGTGTATCATGAAAATATTAACTAATCACAGTTAATTAAAAATCGAAACAAACTATAATTGTATGTATTAAAGCTTTCATTGGTTCTATCAATTTTTTTTTTTATTTACAGGTCGATAGGGAAGACAAGTTACCTAAGAAAATATGTGATGACTGCGTGTATAAAGTAGAATTATTTTATCAATTTTGGAATACATCGGTTAATGCGGAAAAACAATTGTTGCAATGGCTGGGAGAAGTTGGATTAGAAGAAAAGCCAGATTATGTTACAAATGTTCTGAATCAAGTAAGTAATTAATATGCCCTGATGTCGGGTGTTATAGAAATTTTCTAATTTCTATGATTGGACAAAAAAAAATATAATAATAGATAGCATGCATGTTATCGATCGAGTATTAGAAGATATAGATATTTTTTTGTTTTTTGGATATTCTTTTGTATGTTTCCCTTGACTACTGCTATAAGCAGTGGACAAAATACTTAAATTTCCATTTCTAAGTGAAAGTTCACCAAATAATATTTTTTCTTCTTTTGTTGTCCATTTAATGGTTCATTCTATATGGTGTGTTTACAAAAATATAGTATAGTAAATCATTTTTTCTTATGGATTGTTAATTTTATATATAACGTGATATTTTTTCTATGAAATTAATGATTAACATGTGTTTTCCTTTTTTTTTTTGTTTGTTATATAGAACGTTATGAAACCAGATCCAAGCGGTGGAAACAGATTAGATGGAAGTATGATGCAGCAAGTAAGCGGGCATCAAAACAACATGGGTATAGGTATGATGGACAACATCAGCTTGAGTATGCCTATGATGATGTCCACGACCAATCAACAACAAATAACCTCAGTTCCTATGGACGCAAGTGGTAGTTCTGTGCAAGAAATGCCTGGTACAAGTACTCAGTCTACGCATGAACAAATCACACAAAGTCAAACAAATACAAGCAATCAACATGAAGAAGAGGAGGAGAGTAGTGAAGAAGAAGAAAACTCGGAAGATGAATGTGATGGAGAAGAAGGTAATTTTTTTTTCTTTCTTTCTTTCTTTTTTTTTTTTTTTTTTTTTTTTTTTTTTTTTTTTTTTTTTTTTTTTTTTTTTTTTTTTTTTTTTAATATTATCTGCTTGTTTTCAAGTTCAGATAATATTTTCGTATGAATATTTTCAATTGTCAAAACGAACATTGTACTTGTATTCAAGGCCTACCTGTTAAAGAAGAAAGTGAAGAAGATCCTAACAATAGCAGAGTCATCGAACCAACAACATTTGTAAATGTTTCATTAGCCTGCGATGAAGCTGGCCCATCGGGACTTCAACAACAGAAGGTTACTGAGATGCCTGAAATGGCAATGCAACAAAGTACAGACGGAGATCCCAAATCTGGGTGAGTTTTTTTTATCTAATTTAATTATATAAGGGTCAAAGGTGTATAAGTTGTGGCAATCACAAACAATCACGCAAACATTTATATAAGAACCATTGAACTTATTTAATTGAAATTAAATGCATTTCAAATTTTGCCTATTATATGATAAAAAAATAAATATTTCAGGTCAAATAATTTAATGATTTTAAATGAAAAATAAATTTGTTATTTCAATATAAAGTTCATATTTCAATCACACTATAAGGTTAAGAATTATTTATATACTATTTATTTATTTATTTTACGTTGCTATGTTCATTGAACTGCAATTATGTGAAAAAAATATATAGATGAAATAATTCTATATTACTTTTTATACGGATTTTAGTATAATGAAAATGATTTCTTTTATTTTTTTTTGTTTTTATTTTTTTTTTATTATATATATATATATATATATATATATATATATATATATATATAAATTAGTAGAATTAATTTCATCGGTATTTAAGAAAAATATATATATATATATATATTAAGAGGTGAAGTTCTCCATAAACACAAGGTAAGTTCTTACACTAACCACAACCGCCTTTGGCTCTGGATATTTAGCAATTTGATTAAGATCTTATAAACAATAATTATACAAGAAGAATTATGATATTTAATTTACATACTATATAAAAATATAACTTATAAAAAAAAAACAAAATTTACATATGAAAAAGTATATTGAATAAAAATTTCAAATTGCTAAATACCTTCCTCTAGTTACATGTTCTCGCATGTGTATAGTGCTCGTTCTAAAGGGAAAGAAACAAATGATATTTACATTTAAATTACAAAGTATAATTCATAGATTTACATATATAATTATTTATAATTCTCATTAAAACGATCGCTATCTTAGATATTGTATATACGTGTACGATCAATGGACAGAGGGTTCATATAAATTTATTTTGAGTTTACAAATCCCACAGATCAATAATCTCAGAATATGAGAAGATTGAGTTTTAAGATTTAAAAAAAAGAAAATTCATGGAGCTCTCTGTCCAGTCGAGAAAGAATATGTTTACATGTTGTCGATATTAATATACCCACGCTTACGTGAAGGCACAAAATGCCGCACACGACCGTCATATTGGTCGATCAAAAAGTCACAAACCGATTGAATATGTATAAGTTTAATCGTTCACGCTCGTTATTAAGAACGCTTGGTCGATCGGAGGAATAATTATCGCCAAGTTCTTCCACAATAATACATTATGAATATCGTTTGATTATATATATCTATATATGTATACATATATACAGTCACGTTGGTAAGTAAGTTAACGCAGTGCGTTTAAGTTATTAATCAGGTAAAAAAAAAATAATGAAAGTCGTATATTGATTATACTAATAATGACAGTATTGAACGATATATCATTGATCGTAATCTGTTATAGATGGTATTTGTTTTCAATCAAAAAATTCTCAAAGAATTATAAAATGTCAATTCAGAATGAACGAACGCGTTGCAAAGTAAGTTAACCATCGTATCACTTTTCTTTATTTTTTTCTCTCTCTTTTCTTTTTCCTTTGGGTCTTTTTTTTTCTTTTTTTTTTTTTTTTTCTTTTTATATAATCGTTGCAACGTTTATTGTTACTTATTTTCGTAGGACATTAAAATACTAACAGTACTTTTATTAGCATCTATAACCTACTATGAAATAATAACGATTAATATTTCGTTGAGCATGGTAAGAAATGAACGATCTGCTGAAATAAAATCGAGAATTTTTGTAACGCGGAAAAGAAGGATATTTATTATCCTCAATGAAAATTAAAGAATATATAAATTATTAAATATAAGTGTTATAAAAAGAGAGAAAAATTTCCGTTGAGTTTTTGCCGAAGAATAGGAAAGAAATGCAAAACAACGCCGCGTGATGATAACCGTATTATTCGTGAGATAAAAGATAATTTAGAGATAGATAAAGATAGATTCAATAAAGTGGATTATAAAGTGTTTTTCGAAATAATCAATCGATTATATACATAAGTCAATTGAATTTTAGTAATCTGTTATTTAATACAACGATTCAGTTGAAAATTGAAATTTTTAATAATAATAGACGGTAGTAATGTATGCTTGGCGGAAAAGCGATGAAAGTTTTAAAATGGTGGTATCTAAAAATAGTTATTAAACATGGAAGTGGGCTCAGTTATGACGCGTTTTAGTATACACAATATTGGAAACTTTGGTTATCATTGATTCTAAATAAAAAATACGTAGAAATGTTGTAAAACGATCTGTTTCTTTTTGCACAAAAAAAAAAAATAATTATGTCTTTCAACAGAACAATGATCGCCTAAACATAAAGGTAATAATGAGATTTTTTTGAAGACAATATAAATATTGTTCCCACAAAGTTTGTCCTTGAATTCGATCTTGTATTTGTGAGATTATTGAAGAACGTGACTATAAATGACACAGAAAAAAAAAAACAAAATTAATTTTATTGATTCATCGTACAATAAACGGAACAAGATTAGTTTAAATATAATTGAAAAATGAATCCATAATATATCATTTACGAGACGTAAAAGATTGTCTTTCATATAAAATATTTTAATATAATTTACTTTAAAATATTAGAAAAAGTAGGACGCGTTAACTTACTTTTTGACGCTATCCTTATAGTCATTTTTTTTTTTTTATTTTACATATGAAAATTTATATTATTTTTACGTATCCATTTATTCATTGTATATATCTATATTAAATATATACATATATATATATATATATATATATATTATTTATACTAATTATATATGTATATATAAGTATTAAATCATTGAACATATTATTCTACTCATTTCTTTAATTTTTGTGCACAATTGTGTCGTTAACTTACTTACCGATGCGACTGTATATACATATATATATACAGTGTCTGTATATATATATATATATATATATATATATATATATATATATATCGTCATTCTCGTGCTTTCGAATGCCTCCGCTTTTACAATTATAATCAAAGATCACATTGATTCGTTTATTGCGCTCGATATTTTAAGTGCGATCACTTGATACAACGATGACTCTTCAAATACACATGGAGACACGTCAATTTGTCCGAGATATATTCGTCTCCTAATGCACGATATATATATTATACGTTTTCGATAAATATAATTTTATTAAGTACGAAGAGGTTAAATATGATAGTGCATCATAATCTGCAAAAACGAGAAAGAAATTACGAAAAAAAAAAAAAAAAAAAAAAAATATCAAACGTATCCCTTGACACATACACACATTTTGACCGACGAGAATTCCGGAGGAAGTCACACGCGACACTAGAATCGCTAGAGAAATCTCAGGAAGAGACGAGAAGAGGAGACAGCTAGTGTGTAACGTCGCTCTAAAAAACTAGGATTCTACGTGGAGAAATTCTTATTTCAGGCGAGTATCTCTTCAATCTATGTTGTTAATCTACGAGACAATTAGTATTTATTAGTTTGTAATTATTTCTTCTTTTTTTTTTCTACTATTTTTTTCTTTCTTTTTTTTTTTTTTTTTTTTTTTTTTTTCTTTTTTAAGTATGTTATTATATATTCAATATGTGATAATAACATACATACATTTGTTTTACATAATTAATATTTATATCTCGAAGACGGTGATCGATTGTGACGTCACTTTTTTGACGTTAGATCTTTATTTTGTTCATCGTCTTGACGCTGGGATATTAATTAACATGTGGTTTTGACTCGATTGCAACGACCAATACGAGTATACTCGTCTATATGAATTTTGCTCGATTGGTTAAAAAAAAAGAAAAACAGGGAAAAGAACGAGCATTCCCATTAATTTTGTTTGTATTAAAGCTTGGAATTACGTTAATTTCGTGACCATGTGGCTTGCATTTTTTGCGCCAAACGTCAATCTATGTAAGATATTTATATTTCACGTGTTATCGCGCTTTCGCGCCATTTTTCATTTGGCAGCGATAATAGCGCACGAGTTTCAATGTATTTCCGTTTTTCGAGGTTAGCGAGGAACAATGTGTTTTGCGATGACGATTTCGTTCGTAATTTTTTACGAATTTAACGTCGTCTCTGTCAATTTGTCCTGTGTATATGTTTATTTATTTATTTATTTATTTATTCTACTTTTTTTTTTTTTTTTTTTTTTTTTTTTTTTTCTTTTTTTAATCCCTTCCCCTTCAACAGAAATGTGAGCTCATTTGACTGTTACATTACTCTGTAAACCGTCGTCGAAACGTTAAGACGTACCTTTTGTATGTTTTACGTGTTCAGTCGCGAGGTTGCAGTGAAAAGAAGAGTATAAGTGTATAAATGAGAAAAAATTAATGGAGCTGTCCGTTTTGAGAATTACCAGTCGAAGATCACTCAAGAAATGGCATATCAAAGGTGAGGCTTTGTTTGTTTTTTTTTTGTTTTTTTTTTTTTTTTTGTTTTTTTTTCCAAATAAATAATTTTATATTCAACATATTTTTTAAATATTTATCTCTTTCAAGGATTGAAGAAGACCAAAGGGCATTTTTTTTTTTCTTTTTTTTTTTTTTTGAAATTTCGCTTTTAGTATCGGATCATGCTGCAAAGTTTTTGTACTATTTTGTGTTGTTCTTTATTTTTATTTTTTATTTTTTTTTATTTATTTTCTTATTTTTCTCCCTATTTACTTCTCATCCTTCTCTCTACATGTACACTATCTTCTTCCCCTCGCAGTTTCTCGTATAAAATATAATTCGAGCTAATCATAAGTTAATCTCGAGTCGATAAAGTAGACAGTGACTTTTCCAACTTACTTCGCACATGTGCTCTCGTTTTTCATGTATTTTATAGCTATATTATTATTATTATTATTATTATTATTATTATTATTATTATTATTATTATTATTATTATTTGTTTTTTTTTCCAAATAATTCAGCAACACTCACGCACTTTGCACGATGATCACTTTGCAGAAATGATACACATACACGGATACACATACACGCGGATAACACAGAGAAACACGTATTCAAGCAGCTAATCTTTTTTATCTTTCTTTTTTCTACTTTTCTATTTCTATTTATCTATTTATCTATCTATCTATCTCTGTTTTTGGCTCACTGTCTGTTGCAAGATCAAAGCAAGCAAAAGAACACGAAGAATCAAATGTGAAACAAAAGGCACACCGTGTGCGTGTTAACCGAAGGTTCTTTCTCTTTGCCGCAATATCTTTGGCTTTTGTCGATTTCAGGGATGGAGTAGGAGGTGGAGGAGGAGGAGGAGGAGGAGGGGGTGGCGAAACCTTCGGAGGATTATCGGGGATGCTACGTCAGATACTCTCACCGTCGCCTTCACCCGAGACGGGAGAGGCCGGTATGACGGCGATCGGTTGTAATTTTCTCCAGGCAAATTCGATCTTTTCGAATCAATCGTCGATGATGCCATCGACCTTATCCTCAGCGACATTGCAAACGATACCATCTCATCTCTCGATGATCTATCCGGATCAAGGTGGTCTTCTGATGGATCAGTCGCAGCTCGTCCTCCCGGAGTCCCATTCCTGTCCTACCTGTGGCCTTGAGTTTCGTAGCGCTCTGAAGTTAAATTATCACGTGAAAACGAGTCACCCAAGGCCGCCGGAGTACGAGCAACAAAACGTCGAAATTACGGCGAGATACTCGTGCTCCGTCTGCCCAAGGAGTTTCTTCGTTCTTGCGCACCTAAGAATGCACGAGACGACGCACGAGATCGCACCACATTCCTCATCGGTGTTAGGTGCATCTTCGTCGAACGTGCCTACCTCTCGCGGTGCAAATTCTGCTACCGGATTGATGTCCGGCATGTCCGTCGTTGTACCTGCCGGTGCTGCTGCTACAGGCAATGTAGAGAAAACCTTTGGCTGTGATCGTTGTCCAGCAAGTTTTCGATACCGTACACTATTGGAACGTCATAGAAGGATGCACGAACTCGGACAAGAGAAACCTTACTCTTGTCCAAGATGTCTCATGCGTTTCGAGACACGTAATCTTTACAATCATCATGCTAAAACTCACAAGCCTAGCATCGATATCAACGACAGACTCACAGCAGACAGCAATGCGGTCTCTTTAACAGATCCTACCCTTACGGTTACCGGGACTAACCCTTCTATTGTCGGTTGTCCTCCATCTACAACGGTTGTCGCTGCTAATGCCAACAAATCGTTGACAACGGCCTCTTATCCTTGCGACTCCTGTTCGAAACAATTTGCCACCATTGAATCCCTCACCAGTCATAAGGCTGTACATAGATCCAGGCCATTGGTTTGCGATGTTTGTGGAAAGGGTTTCACTCATCGCAAATATTACGTCGTTCATCAACGCATTCACACCGGCGAGAGGCCTTATTTATGCGCTATGTGTGGTAAATCATTTACTCAAGCGTCCACCCTCACGGTTCATCGTCGATATCATACTGGAGAACGACCATATACTTGTACGCTTTGTGGGAAGGGATTCGTTACGAGAACTATCATGCTCAATCATATGAAGAAACATTGAAAAGGATATTCTATCTAAAGAGTTGTTTCTCGTGATAGCTTATAATGAAAATAGCGCGTTGAGGATCTCTTTATTATATATATATATATATATATATATATATATATATATTTCTATAATATATATATATATATTTCTATAATATATATATATATATTTCCATATATATATATATATTTCTATAATATATATATATATATTTCCATATATATATATATATATGGAAAGACAAGGAAATTCAAGGTAAGAAAAATTAATGAAGAGATTAATTTTGAAATTATATTTAATTTGATCATTTCTTTTATATTAATTGCATTTTTAAAGTACCTGGTATTATTGTTTTTTTATATAGCAATCTTAACTTTATAAGATAAAGTTATATATGGACTGTAACAGGTTGTAATAGTTGTAGTGCAAAATCGTAAAAGAATTAGATAATTATTTAATACTTAGGTTATAGTGTAAATATGATCTCTGTGATATCGTTTGAGATGCCTCTATTATATTATTATACAATCGAATGAGAAATTTTTATCGTTGAAATCGAGAGGCATATATTAAAATATATGTTTAGATAAAAATGAACAACAACAAAAAAATAACAAAACAAAAATATTAATGAAGAATGCAGAGTAATATACGTTTAGGTAATTATCTCGCTCGAGTTTGTTAGTTACTCGCGAGAATGGTATTTCGTACCTGTATAGGATATATAGAAATTTCATTTGTAGTTTAACGTGCCTAAGACATGTGCCTAATTTTTCTTATTAATCTTAAAACAACATGTGCATTAAAACTAAGAAATATATTGAAAGGAATACGCGTTTTATGTACGCAACTTATGAGATTAGACGAATCGGGAATTTATAGTTTTAAATGCAATTTAACTTAAAACGTGCAATATATACATAAATATATAAATATATATATATATATATACACGAATTTAAGACGTTTTTAGGTTTAAACCGCGTAGTAACATGATAGTCGAAGAAAAAAGTAAACTGTCGGCAAATTTAGGTGCTTTTCATGACTGCAAGCGGTACAGATCTTACCGCTATAATACACTAAGTGGTTACAAAATGTAAGTATAAAAATGTTTATACATTTGTACCTAATTAATTAATATTTAGCGACTGCAGGAACAAAAATGATATAATTATATATATATAATTATATATATATAATTATTTATATATATATATACATATATATATATATATATATATATATATATATATATATATATATATATATAATCTGTGGTGAATTATCGTTAAAAACATTTTTCATCGCCAATCGATGTACCTTTTATGTCAGATTAAAGTTATCGTAAATGTTATATCGTAAATATACACGAATATGTATTATTTATTAAATTTAAGTTCGTAATATGAAGAGTTATGAATCATAAATTTTAATAATAAAAATAGAAAAGGAAGTGTTCTACTGTTAAAGTGCGCGTCGGTAAAGTCACTTGCGATTATCGACCAATGGTAATCACTCGTATCTAGGATATCTACTATATCAACGAAATGAAAAGAATTTTCGTTTTATTTCTTCGATCATCGTGTGTTACATATAGTTTTATATATTATTTAACACTATTAATAAATATTTTTCAGTTTCGTGATAATAGATGGCTAAACAGATCTAAACTACTCTTTACGATGAATAAATAAATATACAAGATAACGTAAGAGATACAATTTCTTTTCCTCGATTTGTAAATAAGTATTTTTCCATATCCTCACGACGTACACAAGTTTTAAATGCGGGAAGAGAGACACAGGTACGCACAGAGAGAAAGGAGAACTATTATTGATTAAACACAAACAAACAAAAAATGGTATAAATTATCAAAGCTTTTCATAGTCCAATGATGAAAACGATTTCGTGTATTCGGCAACCATCCTTGTAAATATCCTGCTTAAGACGTAAGACTCCCTTTAAAGAAGAAAAGTCAAAAGTACGAAAGATTGATGGAGAACGAGATCATTGATTGATTCCTATTTGTGTCTCTCTTCTTTCCAGATATTTTGACTCAAAGATCACGATACATCATCAGGCTCAGGAACAACAGCAATGCGGTATCAACGAAACAAAAAACGTCTTTAGCCCTGAAAGCAGCAACCCCTTGATCAATGATCCATTGGACGTAGCGAAGATGGAAAATGCTGAAATAATGATGACCGAGGAAACAATACTTCGATGCACTTTCTGTGGCGACGTATTCGTGGACGAGCACACTTTAGTTTTACATCTACAAAGTCATGAACAGGTACCGGACGAATCGTTCGTTTGCGAGCACTGTGGTTGCAATTATCCAACTTCACTGGCACTGATAGAACATCAGGAGGAACACGCGATACCGGAAAAGAACTATAGTTGCGAATCTTGCGATTACGTCACTTTACATCGACCTAGTCTCGTTATTCATCAAAAACGTCACGGTCCTCAGTTAAGGTATCAATGCGAGATCTGTGGCCTTGGTTTCACAACACGTAATAGTTATCAAGATCATCAACTTTTGCATTCTCGCGAAAAACCATTTCAATGTGAAATTTGTAACGCCACATTTCGATATCGTCAGGGTCTTAGATTACACGCTAAACTGCATCAGCCCGATTATGTTCCACCTCAGAAGAAACATCATTGCGAATTGTGTAATAAGCGTTTCTCTAGGAAACAAGTATTATTGGTGCATATGAAGACTCATGGTAACGTAGGACCGTCCAATGAATACGTCTGTCCTATCTGTGGTAAAGCTGTCTCCAGTAAAACTTATTTGACGGTACACTTGCGTAAACATACCGGTGAGAAACCACACGTTTGTGATCTTTGTGGAAAAGGTTTTATATCACAAAACTATTTGAGTGTTCATCGACGCACGCATACAGGCGAACGACCTCACAAGTGTACGCACTGCGAAAAAAGATTCACACAACGTACCACTTTGGTCGTACATTTGCGTGGACATACCGGAGACAGACCTTATCCTTGCACTTATTGTCACAAATCCTTTGCCTCAAAGACCATGTTGAATTCCCATTTGAAGACTCATGCGAAACAAAATGCACGGCAACAACAGGAACAGCAACGAAGGGAATTGCAACAACAACAGTATCAACAACTTCAACAACACGAGCAGCAACAAGCTCTGGATACTGTAACGATTTTATTGCCGAGTTAAAGTAATACTAAACGACTGGCTCGAAATGTTGTCTCATAATAATGATTAGATAAAATTTCATTATCTAAGCTTTCTCTTATTTTAACGTTATTTTTCTTTGAATCGTTACATGTTGAAAACGTAAATTTATTCGTCGGATTTTCACTGTAGGGACCACTTGAAAGTATAGTATTGATACTGATACAAAATAAGTTTAAAACATAATGTTATATATTTATATTTATTGTATTTTATTTTAAATTATTTAAAAAAAGAAAAAAAAAAAGAAAAAAAAAGCAGCAACAATTTTTACGTGCTATGAGAATCTTTAAGAAAAAAGATAAGTAGTAATCTATGTGATGATTATCATGAAGTCTATCCAAGTTATTGTCTTTTTTTTTTTTTATTGAAGATTATTTATTGTATTTCTTATTGCGATTAAGAAAATAATTTTGACTTGATGTTAAAACTTGGCCTATTCCAAGTGTTGAGCCGTCCATATTGTCTTTAACTTTTAATTATACAGTATTTACCTTTAATACTCAACTTTGCTTCTAGTTATCATATTAGATATAGAATCATGTGTACTCGTATTTCGTTCCTACTTCCATAGCTATTAATCAATTATTTTTCAAAGCCACTTTTTTTTATTCTATCGTCAATAGGAATGTTTGTTGAATAAATTTTTCTCCTGAAAAATGAAAAATTATAGTGCCTTATGATCGTGAATATTTATATTTCTAATGTCGTACATTTTTGAATGCACGAATAGATTTAAATTAATAATGATATTTATTTTTATTTGACAGATAACTTCAATTGATTAAATTCATTCATAATTATTAATAATTATAATAATAATAATGAAAACGTATAAATTATTTGACAAAAAAATTTATCTTAATGTCAAAGTACACAAAATTTCGAAGTGGCGAGAAAAAAGAAACTATTAGAAAAATTTCTTTCCACAGATAAATATATATATATATATATATATATATATATATATATATATGTATATATATATATTCATATATATTTTGTATATGACCTGCTTTTATGTAAAGATCATGAATAAAATTACATCCGTATTTTTTTCTATTAAATGATTATATACCAAAGAAAGAAAGTTCCTTATCAATTAAGATTTGATAATACTTTCGACAATTGAAAGTAACATGTTCTTTATAATATTTACAACAATCACAACAATCAAAAGAATCCATATTATTATAGTCTCTCGAAGAAATGGAAATACTCTGAAAAGGATTTAAGATTCATCATCGATTGAAGACTATTCAAATACGTCGAAGTAAGTAATAATACAAATTGTATATTAAGGATAATATACACTGACTGATATAATAATTTAACGAACTGAGTAATTATCTCCTTTGAAATATACAAGAATTTTCACTCATTTTTACAGGCATCCATCTGGTGATATTTTAAGGGAAGGGGCGATGATAGGGGAGGGGAGGGAGATACAGAAATAATAAATAAAAGTAACATTTAAGGCATCGTTAAGTCAAATCAATAACTATTCCGTAATCCACTATCAATCGATTTTCTCGTCTTTACAGGTATACAAGTATTGCAACAACAGTACGAACGAGATCATCACGTCAGCAAGACGCAAAAAATGATAAATCTACGATCATTCTACAACAAGGGAACACTAACGACTCTAATTTTACGTATCAATGTGAATCTTGTAATGAGGAATTCAAGACGGAAGCGAATTTGTTGGTGCACCGAACTGAAAGATCGATACTTAGAACACGAGAAGCTTTGCGTATGGCTGAAAAGAAATACGAGTGTGACAATTGTGGTGAAAAGTTTGTTAAAAAATTGTTATTGATTAAGCATCGACGTACACATTGCAAGGATATAATCGAACGAAAGAAACAAAAGAATCGAGAAAAGATAACGAAATTAAAATCGAAGCAAAGATCGATAGCCGAACCGAGTTCTGGACCGATTGAATGTAACATTTGTCATAAGATATTTAAGAAGAAAAAATATTTGAACGTACACAAGACACTTCATGGTGCACCACACATCTGTCATGTTTGTGGGGCCAAGCTTACGTCCGAGTATTATCTCAAAATTCACATCAGACGTCACAACAAGGAGTTCACTGAGTTCTGTAAGGTCTGTAACAAAGGATTTTATCTGAAAGCGACCTTGAAAACTCACATGAGCGTTCACACCGACGACAAACCATGCACTTGTGAAATCTGTCATAAATCATTTGGCAATCGAGTTTATTTAAGAAGCCACATGAAAATTCACAGTCAACCTGGTACAAGGAAGAAATACAAGTGTGATATTTGTGGGTTCGAGACTTTTTATAGTTATTGTTATAAGGAACATCTTTGGACGCACACGGGCGAGAGTCAAGTTGCTTGTGAAGTTTGTGGAAAATTGATAAGAAGACAATACATGAAGACCCACATTAGAATACACACAGGCGAGAAGCCTGAGATTTGTGAATTTTGTGGGAAAGCGTTTAGTTCGAGAAAGTATTTAATCAAACATCGACGTACTCACACCGGTGAGAGACCGTACAAATGTAAAATTTGCGAGAAAAGATTCACACAACGTGGCACTTTAAGTGCACATCTACGCAGACACGACGGCACTAAGTGATTTATAATCGATCTTATTATTAGGACAGACAATGGGAGATCTTACAATATTTAAACAAAAGATATTTCATCTATACACATTTAATTATAATTCGAAGTAAAGTAAACAAAGTATTCATCGTGTATTTGTATAAATACATGGACTTAATTAACAACACCGACCAATTATCATACTTAAATTATAAACATATTTTTCTATGGTCTATTCAGGAAAAAAAAGAAGTTTCATCATTTATATTTGTAAATCCTAGTCGATAGACCTTGTAAATAGTTTAATAATATTGATAGCAGTCTCGAATAAATTATAAACATTATTTATAATCCATAAATGATTTCGTATTAATATTTCATTTTAACGATACGCCATTGTAAAGGACAAAGTACAAAGAAACAAATTCTGATAACGTTTTCAAAAGGTTGGTGTATATCTGTTATTTTGTTCTTTTTTTTTTTTTTTTTTATTATTTTTTTTTTTTTTTTTAATTTTTTATTTCTTAATTTTAATTCGTAACAGAGGAGACATATCAACTCTTGAAAAAGATTTCAGCTATAAGTACAAGTTTACTTTCTAATGTCGATCATCAAGAAAGGTGGTGTTATTTATTCATTAAAACACATGTCAGAAAGAAACATCTATTATCTCTAGATGCCTGCTTTGAGAATCTAAATCGTTATTGGAAGAAACAGACAGAGAAAACGAACGGCAGGGAGAAAAAAAAGAAATTTTGAACAAGAACATGTCGACTTTTCCCTCTTTTTTTTTTTTATTCACCACATATGTTGACGTATATTATCTATTGCAGGTGCAACAGGACAAAACACGGTGGATGTACAATGGAACTATCTAAACACGAAAACGATGAGTTGGAGAATATTGAAAACGAAGAAATTATGATGAACGATCCTTTGAGATATTCAACGAAAACAAGAAAAATATATTGCAAATCGGATATACAAAGAAACGAAAGGGATACACGTTATCATAGTAAGTGTTCATCAAATCGAAAATATTCGACCATTTATCAATGTGACGTTTGTGGTAAGAAATTCCGAAAAAAGTTTCAACTTCACAAGCACAAATACGAGCATGAGAATAAATCCGAAGAAAGTATGGAGTACGATAATCGTTGCGAAGAATGTGGTAGGGTATTTCTTAATGAGAAGAAGTTACATAAACATATGATTAAGGCTCATCAACAGGAAAAACCATATCAGTGTGCTCTCTGTGGTAAATGTTTCAAAACTGAAGAATTTTTGAAGACACATTTGAAACAACACAACAAACGTTTCACTTGTGATATATGTGGTGTCTCCAAAGTATCGGGATACGATTTACGTTTGCACAAAAAGAAACACAATCAGGAATACGTAACTCACTGTGAGATTTGTGGTAAAGGATTTTACACAAATCAGACGTTAGAGAGACATTTGTTAACTCATACTGGTGAGAAACCATTCATTTGTAAAATCTGTAATACTCCTTATGCTAGTGCAGCTTATTTGAATATGCACATCAAGTCCCATGGTCAACGGGAGAAACACAAGTGTAATATTTGCAATTTTGAAAGTTATTGGAAGGCAGCTTTGAAAGTACATCTGAAGATTCACAGTGGCGAAAATCAAATAACATGTGAGATATGTGGAAAATCGGTGTCGAGTAAAACCTATTTGCAAATTCACATGCGAATACATTCCGGTGAAAAGCCGCACGTTTGCGAAGTATGTGGGAAAGCATTTAGCGTTAGGAAATATCTCGTTGTACATTTGAGAACGCACACAGGAGAAAAACCTTATGAATGTAAAGTCTGTCAGAAGAGATTCACTCAGCAAGGATCATTGAATTCGCACATGAAGTCGCACAATGAGAATAAGTAATAAAACCAAAGAAACAATATCGAATTAGTAGTATGTATTTTCAAATAATAAGAGACTCTGCTTCACTCATGAATGTTGTGCAAATTGTTAATGTAAAATGTTGTAACATGTTAGCACGACGAACGGTTTCTCTTACCGTCCATATTATATCGTTTATATTCGGCTTATTGCAACTAATTAAATTTGTGTATTAAAAGACACTATTATTATTATTATTATTATTATTATTATTATTGTTATTATTATATTATTATTATTAGTATTATTATTATTATATATTTTTGACAAAGTTTGATTTATTAGTTAAATTATATTTAAACAAAATAACAATTTATGGAAGTAAACTTTAAATAAGATAATGAAATTTCTGATTATATTGTTAATTACTTTGTGCCATATTAAAAAAGTAGATTCAATTTTATTGTTGAAACACAGGAAATACGTTAATAAGTTCGGTTTCTTTACTACCAATATAAAATAAATTTTTTTACAAAATATTCAATTAAATCATTAGATCAATGTAAATAATTAGAATCGTAATACAAAAGAATCATACTTAAAATGAATGAAAAATTACAATTGCTTTGTATGGTGCTTTATTTATATACATATATACATATATATCATTTTGTATATACATACATTATGCATCTGATGTAGATATTATAAGTCACAAATTTTATAAAAAAAAATTTGTGTTCTTTAAATATTTACTTTTCTCATCCCACTCCATTTTTTTTATACATACTCTTCGTTATTATGTGATTTGATAACGGCCTTCTATTGAGACGATCTTTTAGATAATATTTTAGAAATACTCGTTTGATGCATATTGCTTTTTTTACTCGAATGCATTATATTAGAAAATATTATTATGATATTAGATAATTATATTTACCCTTATGGTGCTTTTTCTACAAGTAAAAAGAATCTATGATATGTTTTGTAATCAATAGAAGTTATGAGCGAATTATCAAAAAAAAAATATATATATATATATATACATATCTATATGTTTTTCTTCGATTTCGAAACCTCTAATCTCATTATTTTTATCCCAATTAGTATTACTCGTTGTAATCAGGTAAGTTTTTGTTGTATATATTTAAATTCGATAAAACTTTTGTAATAAAGTAATAATTATATTTTCAGATTTAGACTATGTAATAAAAGGAAGTTAACTCGTGAAACTCGATATAACATCGAAATGAAAGTTCGAAATCTTAAAAGTAAAACGAGTATCGACTGATGTAATTGATAAAAAAAGTCTGTAAATTTAATCTAAATAAAAGGTTTTACATTGTAACTTTTGATAAAGTTAATAGTTCAAAGAATACTATTGTGTCCAAATGGTGATAACAGCGAGTACGATAAAGACAAAAAAAAAAGGAGAAGAAAGAAGATATATACATACATATATATTTATATATATATATATATATATATATATATATATATATATATATAAAAAAATTAAAACGTAAGAAAAAAAAGTTATGTTCCCTAATCATATCCTTAAAAAAATTATATATATCCTTAATGATCATCCCAATGTTGAGTTTGACCATCCAGAATTATAAACGATCAAGAGAAAAAGAAAAAAAAAAAGATATCATTATCGTTAATCGACTGACCCAGGCAACTTTTATTTTTATTCCAGATGTGAAAACTTATTGGGAAAAGACGAAGATGTTGAAGAAACAACCAAAGATACGTTACCATTAAAGTCCTTCATAAAGAAAGAAATGACGATAGAAGAAAACGATTGGATAATAAATAAGGATACATCGATGAAAAAGATAAATGAAGATGTAGAAGTAAGAGAAGAAGAAAAAGAAGAAATGAGTAAGGAAAATGTCGAGGATCGTACGGTTACTTCGTTGGAGGAATCAGAAAAACGTTATTATCAGTGTAACATATGTACTAAACGTTTCAAATTGAAGAATCTTTTCGAAGGACATTTAGTTGCACACAGTGATGCTAGGCCTTATCAGTGCGATGTTTGTGGTAAATCCTTTAAAAGAACTAACACTTTAGCGGTACATAAAAGAATACATACGCGTGAAAGAAATTATGTTTGTGACGTTTGTGGTCGAGCTTTCGTCCAAGCCTCACAATTGGCAACTCATCAGAGACGACACTTCGAGAGGTATACAAGATATTGTGAAATATGTAACAAGGGTTTCTTTACTAATGCTGAGTTACATGGTCATATGAACGTGAGGCATGGTGCGAAGGAACACGTGTGCCATTCCTGTGGCAAATCCTTTCCCAATAATCACACGTTGGTACGGCATACGAAGGTACACGATCCTAATTTCAAGCCGGTTAAACATCAGTGCGAATTTTGTGGCAAGATATTTGCTTATAAAAACTCTTTGGTCGTACACGTTAAGTCACATACCGGGGAGAACAAATACGATTGTCATCTTTGTGGTAAATCGGTTTCATCGAAGGGTTCACTTCAAGATCATCTTCGACTTCATGGTGGTGAGAAATTACTCGTTTGCGATGTCTGCGGCAAAGCTTTTCACAAAAGGACCACTCTCGTCGTTCACAAGAGAACTCATACCGGAGAGAAGCCATACTCTTGTGACACCTGTGGCAAATCTTTCACTCAACATTCCACTTTGGTTATTCACAAAAGATATCATACTGGACAGAGGCCCTATCAGTGTAATCTCTGCAACAAATCTTTTGTCTCCAGGGCACTCTTGAATGCTCACAATAAGATACATGTGGTCAACGTTATGATTGTTCAACCAACGTAAACGTCCTAATCATTTTCACTAAAGTGATACCGAAAAAGTGTGAAACTTCGTCGAAAAGGTGATCAATCCGGATCTTCTTCTATATTTATGGATCCCGAGCGATTTCTTTCTTTTTTCCTGAACAACGTCTTGCATTACGTACAATGTCATTTCTTTGATTAGGAACGTATTATCTGTCGGATAATATAAGAAGAAAATAACGAATATTCATTTTTGTAACATTCGTAAGCCCTTTTCAAATTAGAGAAAATAAATGTTTTACAATACGAAGTGTTGTTAAAAGAAAAGAAAAGAAAAGAAAAAATAATATTTTAGATTGAAAGAATTTGTTGTAAACGATTCAACGAACTTTGTAACGCGATATGACTTGGTTCCTACATTTTCTAAAAAACATTGTGGATTTCTCAATTGATGTCCACTTTAACAATTTCTATAACATTGTAACCGTAGAATAAACCCACAGCTTAGTATGAGGATCTATAATCTCAGTTAAAATAGATTGTTTCATTTTGCTTGTATTAATTTGTGTCAAATAATGTCGTTCGGATGGCACGATTTCTTGCGATTTGTCAGATGCCAGAGAGTCGCTAAGAGAGAAACAAAAAAAAACACATATACAGACCATCAGATAGCGGAAAGAGATATGAGATACTGATGTGGCCATTTGAATTTTTACATTTCAGGTATCACAACCGGCTATCCTTTTCCGAAGACTATTATCCGATGGTAATGTTCGCGAAACTCGACCTGGTAAAGAAGGACGCGGAGCCCGAGAGGAGATCAACCATAGCGAAGTGTCCGGAAGAAGGTGCGAGCGAAGAAGCAGGAAATAATTTAACGATCGGTGCCATTGATGATGATGGAGAACGAAAGGTGATAAAACAAGAGGTTGACGCTGACGACGAAGAGGACGATCTTTCTTTGACGTATAACTGCAAGTTGTGCGGCGTTTTCTTTGCCAGTCAAACTCTTCTGGATAATCACGAGATCGAGCACAAGGGTAAGCGTAAAAATACTTGCGCTCAATGCGGCCGAGTATTTCGGACTTATGTGAATCTACGAAAACACATGAAGAAGCATAACGGTCGTAAGGGGACGCGTAAATCGAGTGGCACCTCGATTGTTAGCCGATCTACGTCTTTGAAGAAGGTCAAGAAAGAGAAACCAGAATTGGAGTTACTATGCAAGACATGTAACAAAGTTTTCCGGCACAAGAGCAATTACCAAAAACACTTGTTACGACATACCGTAGGTGATCTTACTTGCAAACACTGCCCGAAAAAGTTCCGCCTCTTTCGTGATCTTACTAGGCACGAGAAGACTCATTTCTATCCGAGTTACATGTGCAAACAATGCGACTACGAGACTACAGTGTTAGCCGCTCTCAGCATTCACATGTTACGGCACACGGACAAGGCCGATCTACCGTTTAAGTGTAATGAATGTGACAAACATTTCCGCAAGGCTATCGATTTGCAGGAACATTACAATATTCATTCCGGTGACAAGCCGTTTGTCTGTCAAGTCTGTGGAACGGCTTTCTATCTGAGAAGACAACTTTCAGCACATTGCCGTCGAATGCATCCAGAAATGAAAGCCAACAAAGTTACAAGCACTGCTTGTGACATATGTGGTCGTGTTCTTGCCACAAAGAGGTCATTATTCCGTCACAAGGAGAGTCACAATCCGACTAAACTCTATCTCTGCGATTATTGTGGCAAAAGTCTTAGTAGTGCTGAACATTTGAAGAAACATCGACGAATTCATACCGGCGAAAAACCTTACGTATGTGACATATGCGGAAAGGGATTCACCGATTCGGAGAATCTCAGGATGCACAGGCGCGTTCACACCGGTGAAAAACCATACAAATGCGATCAGTGTCCTAAAGCTTTTTCACAGAGATCGACTCTAACAATACATAGACGTGGCCACACTGGGGAGAGACCTTATGTCTGTCAGATTTGTCATCGTGGTTTCTCCTGTCAAGGTAATCTCACAGCACACCAGAAGTCTACTTGTGTTTAAAAATAAACAAATAAATAAATAAAATATCTATACTCGATCAATAATGACTTTTTTTGCGATGATCAATCGAATTAGATTTTTGGTGTCTCTGTTGTTATCTGACAGGTATGTATGTGTGTATGTTTGCGTATATATGCAGTTGAGTATATGTATGCGTATATGTGTTCGCTAAACAAAGTTTAATTTACTTATCGATCAAATGGATTTTCTCCAACTAATTTTGTAGTTTCGTTATCGATTTGTATATTAATTCGTACCTGTATTCATTTTTCCTCGAGTTTCTACGCTTCTTCTTTTTTTTTTTTTTTTTTTTTTAAATGTACGTTTCGAATTTTTGCCGTTATTTTTACTTTGTAAGACTGTGTTCCACGGCTTCCTTAATGTGTAATGTTCTATTACTCTCTTTTTGTATATTCGTCACAAATCTAACAATTATTCTTTTTCTTTTCTTTTTTTTTCTTTTCTTTTTTTTTTTTTTCAATACGTTATAAGTTCATACGTTTTTTAAAAACGATCGAAATGAATTTGTAAATTATTTAGATATATCAATAATAATAATTATTATTATTTTTATTATTATTATTATTATTATTATTATTATTATTATTATTATTATTATTAATATTATCATAGCTTAATAAAATAAGGATTATATATATACATATACCGAAGCAAGCGAGTATAACTTATCATCTTATTGATTTTTACTCGCACCAGAGAAAATGCTTTCACTATGAGAATAATCGATCTTCTTGAGTCTTCCTTAAGAGTGTGATTCATCGATCATTGTATATATCAGAGATCAAAGAAAATTTAAATGCAAAAGAGAAAGTGTAATAAACGAATGAATGAAAGCAAGAAAGAAAGGAAGGAAGGAATAATTACGCATTTTAATCTGGGAAAAAAAGGAATTGTGTTAATTGAACTGTTTTGTGTCAAATTAGAATCCCTTTAAAATTAGCTAAGAGTAAATGGAGAATATCTCAACATGCCTTCAATCACACAACGAAGAGTCAAATGCGATACGCTTTGATTATATTCAAAGAAGAACTTTGATGAAATAAATTCATACGAATCAATTGTATCATCTTATACGTCGTAATTGATTTTAATTGTTTATTAATGGATTTTATTTTTTTTTTCTTAGGATATTTACAAGTTAAATAAAAATTCTCATTCGTGATAGTAATCAGTTGAATGTGTGTTAAGAGCGAAGTGTGTATGCTTTTAGTATAGTTGATAACTCGAAGCAGTTACAAGATTTTATACCATTATATAAATTTGCGTAATGTATGATAAAAAATGTGTGGATAAAGAATGGCACTAAGGTATCATATAAGTGAGTGAAAGTATTCGTAAATTGATATGCTTGAATGTATATACAAAAGTTTAGATTTTATCGTTAAACAGTTATGATGATTATGATTATAATGATGATGATAATGATGATGATGATGATGATGATGATGATAATGATGATGATGATGATGATGATGATGATGATGATGATGATGATGATGATGATGATGATTATGATATGATGATGTAAGGTATGTGACAGTTAATCGAGATAAATAATAATGCAAAGTTAAATAAGTTCTTTTTCGCGCCTAAGTAAAAAAAAAAAAAGAAAAAAAAAGGAAAGAAAAAGGAAAAAAGAAACCATGAATTAGTTTGCGTTGTACTTAATATTATTTTATCAAAAAGAACTGTGACATTTCAAATTCGAAATACTTTGTATGATCAGCAAGTGACCGAGAAAAAAATTTTCTTAGAGATCCATCGTTGTCTGGTCAATTAGAGATTTTCAAATTTTTTCATTAGCTTTGTATAAAGTAAGTTATGTAAAGTATACACATATATATATATATATATATATATATATATATATATATATATATATATATATATATATATATTGAGAGAAAGGGAAGAAAAGAAATTGTTAAATAAATTATGAAAATCTTCTCAGACCAAGCCCAGAAGGTTTATTAAAATGAACATTGATAAATCCTAGGAATAATTCCTTATAAGAGTAAGCTTCTAATCGTTCCTATGTATTGTATTACGATTGTATTCACTTTTTTTTTTCTTTTTTTTTTTATTTCTTTTTTTTATCCTTTTTTATTTACTAAATTGATTGGATGTTTCAGATAATCAATATTTATTGAGGACTAATGAGAAGAAATGGAGAGAAGTATGTAATCACATAATGTTACTGTAGAGAAAATAAGAAATAAAATTGAGTATCGAAAGGAATAACAATATTTTCCATTACTCGTGAAATTGTCAGGAGGAAAATAGACGAAGGAAAAAAAAGAAAAGAATAAAAATAAAATTTCTAACAATATAATGTAAAACTATACTTCGTTTCATAAATTATAAATTATTAAAAATTTATTAGAAATAATTGAAACAATTAGATGAGAATATAGATGGACGATACAAATTTTGACATCCAAGGAAATATCCAGGCAAGAATGATTTGAATAAAAGTAAAAATGTAGTTTTCAACGATTTTCTTAATAAAATCGATTCATTCTATACTGAAGGAATAATCGCAAACTGATCAAAAAAAAAATATTTCTATTTATTTAATTACATAAATTTATCAGAGAAGATATTTTGTTTTTATAATTTTCTTCGTGAATTTACATACGAAATTGAGTAATTCCTTTTTTCCATTTTTGTCCGAAGTTTTTAGAGTAATAAATAGAACGTGTAGAATTTTAAAAACAAAAATGAATTTCTTCAAAGAAATGTTAATTTTTTTTTTTTTTTTCAGATACTCACGTATAAAAAAAAGAAAAGACTGGACGTAAAGGCTAAATAAAATAAATCGTACCCGTACATACACGAAATCTCGATTTCTTCTTTAATATTTTTGCATGTTGAGATGGATCTTTCTTTCTTTTTTTTCCCCATGTAACTTGAAAACATTCATTCAATTAATGATATTCATACTTGTTTCAGAGAAAAATATATCAGAAAGCAGAGAAAAAGAAGAAACGTTAAAATAGAAGAAACATCGAAAATGGAAGAAGAGGATGTAAAGAAAAAGGAAAGGGAGGTTTTGAAGGAGGAGAAAGAGGACGATATGAAGGAGGATGAGGAAGAGGAAATACATCAGGAAAGTACATTTGTGATTTTCCAATTTGTTAATACCGGTGAACCGGTTACAGATTCATCGATAAAAAAAAGGACAACAACGGATCCTTCAGCAGACATTTGTAAAGAGAACGTCGAAGTTGATGTATTGGACAAAATACGGAACGTTTGTCCATTCTGTGATAAACAATTCAGTAACGAACAAAGTGTCGAACGGCATGTTATGGTAGTCCATCAAAGACAGTATAAGTGTGACATGTGCAAGAGATCTTACAATACGCAGGCCGCTCTAGACATTCACAAGGTGATACACAGGCCGGATTATTTTTTCGAGTGTATGGAATGCCATGTGAAATATAAAAGCGAGGGTGGTTTGAAGAGGCATTACATACGTGCCCATGATAGGAACAATCCAATTTTTATTTGCGAACAGTGCGGCAGAAGTTATAAGTTAAAGATAGATCTAACAAATCATATAAAAAAGGCTCATCCATTTGAATTACAAATCTGTCGATATTGTGGTAAAGAAGTAAGAGATGTCAAGGGTCACGAATATATTCATCAAAGGAAGGCTCGTAAGAAGCTTTACAATTTTCCTTGTCATCTGTGTCCTCAAAAATTTTGTCATAGAAGCCGATTGGATAGACATTTGTTGCAACACGAAAATGGATTCAAGTGTACCGATTGCGGTGAGAATTTTATTGGAAGTAGAGAGCTTAAAAATCATAAACGTTTCAAACACAGCAGACCAAGTAGTTCTACATGTATCTTTTGTCAAAAAGTATTCACATGCGTTAGCAATTTTCATCAACACGTTCTAACTCATGCCGGAATTAGACCATACAAGTGTGACATCTGCGAGGAAGACTTTACGCAACGATCTAGCTTGTTGAGACATCGTAGAAACCATCCAGGACCTCTTCCACCATTGGCATTAGCTAGTCCACAAATTGCTGAACTCGCAAGAAGTTACATGCAGAAGTTTCAAAACGGTCAGATAGACAAAACGATTCATTGAACGCGCATGCACGTTTGAAAGTTTTTCTCTATAGAAACGTGCTTGAATAATTTATTTTTCAGAGAAAAATATATATTTTTTACTCTACTTCTATTTAAATTTTTAATCTATATAAAATGTTCATTGTATGTGTGTAAACGCATTCGCGCGCGTGCGTAAGTGCGTTTGTATGTGTGTGTGTGCTACAATGAATTGACTAATAGTGAGATAAATGGAAAAGAAAAGAGCTTTCATCTTTCCCTGTTTCTTCTTTTTTTTTTCTTTCTCTTTTTTTTCAAGTCGATAGAGATTGAAATTTTTTATAATAGAAAGTTTAATAAGAAAGTTTTCTTTTTGTTGTTTCATAAAAATACATTTAGAGTTATTAACTTTCTTTTTTTTTTTTTTATCCGTTGAGTCAGAGATTCTTTCAAAATTGTTAATTATGCGAAGATATTCTTCGGCAATTTATAATTATAATTACAGAAATATTTTCTGATGTACGAGATAGTAAAAAAAAAAAAGAAAAAAAATAGAATATTTTAAATCTAGCAAAACGGATAAAACATATTTTGCAAGAAAATCGATTGATACAATCGAAATGATTTTTTACTAGTCTGATTAATAATTAATAAGTAACAAAAGAAATGAAATATATAATTTAATTATTTCTATTATAAAAATTGCAATGATTTTTCTTCACCACAAGTGCTTAAACGAAAATATATAATATTAAAATGATACTAATTATCATGTATGATTATATATAGTAATGGTTATGGTTATTATATGATCTATATACTTTGAGATATATATGTGTACATATATATATATATATATATATATATATATATATATATATATATATATATTTATGTATGTATATAAATATTTCATAAAATTATTCTGACTTTTAAAAGGAACATATACGTATAAGTGATTATGTATGCGCGCAAAAATAAAATACGAGAATGAACGTCATAAAATGTTATTTTGTGTATGAATTATATGAATTCTATTTGTGTTATATATTGTTTAAAGATGTATACAATGAAATAAAATTAAATGTGTACGTATTTATATTATAGATTGGCGATAATACATATATGATAAAAACGTGGTGATTTTCTTACAAGTATATTACATTTCCATATGAATAATAAACGTTTTAAACGTAAGTTATTCTATTACTACTCTGAAATTGTATAATAAGAGTATTATATATATATATATATATATATATATATATATATATATATATATATGTATATGTATATGTATATGTATATATATATGTACACAAATACAAGAAGTACCATATTCTACAAGAAAGTTGCAAATAGTTGTGAGTTCATTCATCGCATGGTTAAAAGAAAGAAATAATTGTGATCATTCGATTCTAATCACGTTTCATTGTTTTAGGATGACCAATAACAACGATCCCTTATACATCCAACCACGCATAACGATGACGGTGGTTAATGAGCCATTCTTCGTAGCATCTAATCAAAATGGAGTACAAAATATTGGTGATGATAATATGTTAGAGCTACCTAATGCATCGTCGAGTAATATCGCAGCTCAATCCGAAAGGTAGGATAATTGATTTATGGTAAATTTCTTATTTTCTTTTTCTCTTTTTTTTTTTTCTCTTTTTTTTTCTTTTTCTGAAGAAATAGAAAATGCAAGCTAAGATTTTTTATTAATTATTGCATGCTAGATAAGATAACAATCTCTTTTAAAAGAAGTCAACACAACACAACGTAAATCAGATGGATTCATTTTAAGGATTATCATTGATTGAAAAATTGGCTTTGAAATGTTTTTAGGTATAACTCGCTCAACTCACTCGGTCCATCTTTTCTCACAGTGAAATTGGGAGACGACTACTTTCGCATACCGAAATCTTTGAGCGTTTTTATGATGAAGGAACCAAACCCATACGAAAATGATTCAACGGACAAAAATGTAGTGAAAGAAGAGAATGGGGATAGTGCTATGCAAACGAGAAGTAAGCAAAAACTTAAGGAAGAAAAAATTAAAGAAGAAACCGATACTACGGATGATTTGGATGATACACCTCTTGATTTTAGAAAAATGTGTGAAGAAAAGAATCCGAAAGCAAAGCCTGATAGATTACCTAGATTAAAAAAAAAGCCACATACTTGTGAGATATGTTACCTTACTTTTGATCGCAAGAGTAAACTAACAAGTCATATGTTCAAACATAGTAATTCGAGACCACACAAATGTCGAATCTGTTCGAAAGGATTCAAAACCGGTGCTTATTTATCAAGACACATGGAAATACACGACGAACCGGCACAGTTGCATGCTTGCACATTATGCGACTTCAAGGCCAGAACAAAGCCGTATTTAAAAATTCATTATATTCGGAAACACACGGAAGATTATAATTACAGTTGCGAGCAATGTGGAAAAATGTTTAAAGTTCAATCGGACTATACTACGCATATGAAGGATCACGATACTGAGTCTTGCGTTTGTGATATCTGTGGATCTTCATATCCAAGCAAAAGTTCTCTTTACTTTCACAAACATTACAAACATAAGACCAAAATCAAGGAATTCGAGTGTTCTACCTGTAGGAAGAAATTCAAAAGTCAAAAGAATCTTGATAATCATGCTGAATTACACAAGATGAAATACGTATGTGAACAATGCGGGATGGAATTTAAATTTAAATATGGCCTAACGAAACATTTGAGAACACATTCCGGGGAAAAATCTTATCTCTGCGCGATTTGTGGAAAAACGTTTGGCTGTTTGAGCTCACAAAAGATACATCTGCTCACTCACGTCGGCGAACGTCCTTATGTTTGTGACATCTGTGGGCAAAGTTTCACACAGAGATCTCCAATGATGTTGCACAGAAGGAAACATCCTGGTGCGCATCCACCTCCACCGCCGATCAAAATCACTAATCTTTTGCACGGTGTACAAGACAAGATCATCATGAATAAGAATATAAAATAAGATTTGTTATCATATCCTCTTGTTTCATATCTTTTTCAAAATGAGATAAGAGCACAAAGAAAGTTCATTGTGTATGTACGTTTGAGCTTACTTGTCTTTAAAAATTATTGTGATCGATTTATTGGCATCGTTATTGGTTGAGATTTACACGGAAAAAGAACGAATTAAAAAGAAATATCTCATCATCAATCACACAGAAAGAAATAACTCATAATTTCAAAGTACAAGATGTTGAACTTTACTTTGAATATTTTTTATTATTATTATTATTATTATTATTATTATTATTATTATTATTATTATTAATATTATTATTATTATCGTCACAAATCTGTTTGCGCCTACACTCCAAAATTCTAATATTTTTTAACTAACTCATGAATTTAATTCATGAATTTTTATACTGCTATAAAATATATATTTTATATATATATATATATATATATATATATATATATATAAAATATAATATATATATATACATACATACATATATACATACATACGTACAATGCAAATTTATTTTCTCTAGCTTATAGAATAAAATGAAAAAATAAGAAATATCTAAATAAAATATATTTCTCTGGGAAGATGCAATGTACAGAATAGATTTTATGTGATATGTATTTGAATTAAATGTATACATGTATGTTTTTGATAAATGAATATAATATGTACTGTTATCACAAAAATAATTCTATTATCGAAAGTCTTCATTGTTTTTTTTTTTATTTTTTTTTTTTTTTTTTTTTTTTTTTTTATTTTTCTTTTAAGACGAACGATAAATATATCTTCGTATGTAAATGATAAGTCGATATAGGATAAAATTTTTGCGGAAATTATATAATTTGTGATATTTGCTCGTACCCTGCCATCGATGATAAATTTATTGTAAATATATTGATATCTATACAGAATATAATTTTGTAAATACTCCATATCCAAACTTTTTAGTATTTAATATTTAAATTACTATTTAAAGAAACTATGAAATATAATAGGAATTCTTTATAATATTTTGTTATATCAAAATATTGAAAAATGATTATTGTAACCTTTACAGTGCATTTGAATATATCTATATTTAATATTACAATAAGATTCAAAAAATAGAAAGACTTATTACGATTACTCGAATTGCAAGTGAGAAAAGTGTTCATGAATTTCGGGGTAATTCGAGTTGGTACATTTCTTGAATCTAAAATTATTAAATTGATATAAATCCTCTAACGTAAGAGCATTTATATCTCTTTCTCTCTCTCTTCTCTCTCTTTATTTCACTTTCTCCCACCTTCCCTCTCTCTCTCTCTCCCTTTTTTTCTACAATATATTTATATATATATATATATATATGTATATATATATATATATATATATATATATATATACATAAATTTATTGTATTTGTAAAAATGTTTATCTATAAATAGAATTTGTTTATCATGTATACAGATACGTTAATCGACTAAATATATATATTTTTTTTTTCTAACAAAATTGATATTAATATATCATGATTTTTTAGGTTCGCGGTGCAAGATTCCATTCGAGCAAAAATATCCTCGTGATACACACAAAGCTGATGAATATTACATAGTGCCAATAACGGTGAACAATCTATCAACGATTGACGGACAAGTAGTGAAATTGAAATAAATATAAATCAGTGTATAGTTTCAGATATGTTGAATCCATTTGATAATTACCAACAATCTTACAAAAGTGAAAACAAAAGTGAACGATGTATTTATATTAATCTGTGATCGTTTATTGAAAAGCAAGAGGACATTGAAACTTTACTGAGACGAGATAAAAAAAAAACTGATTGCATTTTATCAGAAGATGTACCTGTTTAAAAATAAACTAAGGATGCTTAATGAAAATATTTATCCTGATAATATTGATAAGATGGTAAACATTCCATTGTTTATTGATTGGAAACATAAGATAAGAAAAAGGGAACCCTCATTTTAAATGAACTTTTAAAAGTTCTTTCATTCTCGATAAACATGTGTTACAATATATATTAAATTTTTTATGCAACACGTGTGACCCAAAATTCAAGTACCAAAATTCTTTTTGGAAGCACAAAAAAGCATATAAATCAGATAAACTGATACGAGAAAATGCAATATTGTTGCAAAGAAAAATTTTACTAGACCAACGACCAAAGAGAAATTAGTCGATCTTGTAAAATTTAAACTGTTAATTTCAATTAAATTGCCATATAAAGATCTGACTGAACATATTTTAGATATCATTTTTTAATTATCTTGTAAAGATCATTTTTATTTTTTTTCTTTTATTACTTTTCTATATCATATTATTCATAACTGTTCGTCGATTAAGATTATTTTATGTTATATAGTATACAGATCTTTAGCATCATTAATTTTGTTTATCTACTAAATTTGATATTGTTGTATAAATTACATAAATACATATTTTATATGGATATCTAATTCAATACTGGATTTTGATTTTATTCATTCGTGTGTTTACCATCAAGTATTATATATTAAAAAATTGTTCCAAGTAACAAATTACTTTATTAAGTTATTGAAGTGAACATGAACAAACTTAGAGTGAAAGTAATCGCGTTCCTCTTGTTTAGATCTAATGAAGAAGATAAAGGCAAAATAGTCGGAAGAAAAAATTCCGATGGATGTGCCAAAATGAAAAAGAAAATAAAAACATTACGAGAAGATTGAACAAATCGTCAAGAAAATAGAATCAAAGAAATGAAGATTTGGAAATTAAGAGAGAATAGATTTCTTGTGATATCTTTAAGATCGAAATATTAAAAATATATGTTGAATCATGATGATTTTCAATATGACGTTTGTGCTAAGAAATTCAAACGTAAAAACAATATAGAGAAACAAAAAATGAAAGAACATGAGGAGGCATCGATATTTATATCTATCAATATCATGATTTTATCACGATTATATTCTTTTATTTTTACCTGCAGGTGAGTTATTAATAAATCCCTAAACTTTCTTCTTTGCGAAGAAACAAAAGAAAAAATCTGTCAAAATCGTGAAGAACTGTCTACTTCTAACAAGTCAATTTGCAGGTATACTTTAGACGAATATATTTGATTGAAAATGTACATTAAGGCTGATTATATCAAACATTTGATAACTCACAAGAAAGAAAATTTTATTTATTACTTCTGCGATATCTAACAAAATGTCATTGTATTTTCACAAAAATCAAAAAGACAAAAAAAATTATTTGAAACATCAGTGTTCTATTTGTAAGAAGAAACTTCAATATCAAAAGAATTTGGAACAGTTATCTGTGATAACAGGAACAACGATACACGTGTTAGAAATGTGTTAGAAGTGTGGATTGAAGTTTACATGAAAAACAACATTGAAGAAACGTATTAAAAGATTCTAATGAGAAATTTTATTTTGATCACATCTGCAATAATGAATTTGCAAGTACAATAAGCAGAAAAGTTCATTTCTTAACTTAGTTGGGTGTCAGATCTTATTTTTATACCATTTTTGGAAGGAATTTTACAAAAATTAAAAAAAGAATTAATCTGATTATTCTGAAGCTCCAACATCGGTGTTCATAAGGAACATTATCGAGATCAAGACTCAAGAACATTTAATGCATAAGAAAAAGAAATAAATCGAAGTGATCACTTTACCTCAAAAGTTTTTTCAAAGAAAAGAACAATTTTTTTTTGCTTTTATAGTTTTTTTTCTTTTCTTTTTTTTAAACTACGTTTACTTGTTATACCTATGTCTGAGAAAACTTCAAGATTTATATTCTGACTTTGATAGTTTAAGTATTTTAATGTGCAATTTTCATTGTAGAAAAAAAAAATAAATATGAAGAAGAGAACGATTAGCACATTTGATATGTTTCATTATAGACCTTTACTTCTACATATACTAAACATGTATTTTATTAATTTAAGAAAGTCGACATAATTGATATTTTCAGAATATAAGAAAACGTCCTTTTAATGAGAAGACAACTGTTTATTTCAGGAAAATGATGCATTTCTAATCATATGACATAGCAATCTATTTAAAATAACGTATACTTACACTGATTATTCTTGTTTTAGGAAAACGATTCAACAATTAGACAAAAGAAGTATGGTCAAAAGAAGAAATTCAGCGATACGCTCAAGATGGAATGTTAAGAAATTCTTGGACGAATCACAAGCTTCCTACTCAAAGGATTCTCGTCTTAAAAGTATCAATTTTCGATATGAACGAAAAGCAGCGATGAAAATATTGAGGTCATCTAGTATATTGAAAAAGAGAAGTCGTGTGAAAGAAGAAACCGAAAACGATAATAAATCGCAATCAGGAAATAATGAAATTCGTACAAATCAAGAAATTCTTTACAAGAAACGAAACGATGGTAATTATACATGTGACATTTGTCAAACGATATTCAAACAAAAGAGCAAAATATTACGACATATAATGAGTAAGCATAGCTTTCATCGGCCATTTAAATGCAATGCTTGTGGTAAATCTTTCAAGTACAAGTGTGACTTGAAGGCACACAGACTGATACATCAGGATTTGGATACAAGTTTGCTTCACTGTTGCGACAAGTGTGACTATCGTACGAAAACTAAGAACAATTTGAAGTCTCATTACATAAGAAGACATACCGACGATTACAAATTCGCATGTGAACATTGTGGCAAACGTTTCAAAATGGAATGGGACTTGAAGTTCCACATTGGTACTCACAGTAGTTCACGACATATGTGTGACATTTGTGGAAAATTTTATACCAGTGATTACTCCTTGTACAAACACAGAAAGGTCGCTCATTTGAACGAATACAATTTTCAATGCGACGTCTGTAACAAAAGGCTTCTAACTCAGGAAAATCTCAACAATCATATGCGTCAACACGACAGAACATACGAGTGCAAAGAATGTGGCAAGGTCTTCGCAACGAAAAGATATTTGGCTACACACACGACCACTCATACAGGTGTTAAACCTTACGTTTGTCAAATTTGTAAGAAGAACTTTCGTACGTCTCATATGAGGAACACACATCTATTAACACATTCAGCGGATAGACCCCATGTCTGTGATCTTTGTGGACAAGCTTTCAAAAGACGATACTACATGATCGAACATCGAAGGAAACATCCGGATTCTCATCTATCCTCGCCTCCTATGCCGTTTGCAAAAAATAGGAATACTTTCGAAGCCAAGATCGATTCTAAATCGGACATTCTAACTTAACAATTTAATAATGTTCTTCATTGATGCTGCTTCCGCCAATAATATTTATATTATTTAATAAATCGACATAGAAATGAGAATTAATGGATATATATGATAGATTTTGTAATATAAACAATACAGTTGTACATAATTACATTACATAGTTACATTACAGTACTTTTCATATAGATATATATGTATGTATTTATATTGATGTGTGATGATACACATATAAGTTAAATATATATATATGTATTATATGAGTATAATTTCTTAAGAATTAGTGACCGATTTTGAACAATGATTATAACGAACAGAAACTACTTACATTTTTTTGTTAAACGATCCCATCGACAATTATTTTGCACAATTGGCTCTTATAATCGCGGAGTAAGTAATGCCTCAATATGTAATCGACATCATATAATTTCACAAGATATTAATCATTATTTTATCATTCTGTTTTAGAGACCGAAACTTTGCTATGGAGAGTTCAGAAATGGATAAACTTGGCCAATCAGTTGAAGAAAAGGATTCTCTTATATTGCTAGAACATGATTGTTCCAGCATCAAATTAGAATATCCATCTATATCAAGAACAGTGGAAAACCAAACAATGTTATCGTTGTTATCGGTGAAGAAAGAAATCGAGGAACATCGTGTTGGTGTTCAAGAAAAAACAATTATAAAGTACCACAATTGTGATCGTTGCGGAATGAAGTTTCCATTAAGAACGATGCTGAATAGACATAGATTGTCCCACAATGTGAAACATTCTATACCAAGGATCAAATGTTCAAGAGAAAAATATGGATATCCCAAAACATCGGATTTACGAAAATACAATAAATCTGTATTCGGGCAAGTTGAAAAACGCGAATACACTTGTAATCTCTGTAATTTTGCATGTGGAAGAAGCATCACGTTGACCGTACATTTGAAAAGAAAACACAGAATAAATGAAGTTAAATCTGTTTCGAAGAATCTGAAATGTTCTTCCAATGAAAATAATTCAACCAAACGAAGATCTACGAGAAAGAACAAAAAAATTTATCACTTTTGCGATATTTGTGATTTTGAGTGTAAAAAGGATGAGGTTCTGGCTGCACACGTGGCACAATGTCATCGAAAATCAGAGAAGAGAATAGAAAATTCATCGAGCAGATCAAACAAATGGAATTATAAAATAACAAAAGCTAAAGAAGATAAGTATGATCGCGAGGTCCAAGAAAGTGCATCGATGTTTTCTTGTTCGTGTTGTACGTTCCGTTGTAAAAAGAGATCAACTATGACGAGTCATGTTGCAAAGAAGCACAACAACAAAGTTAATCTCGAAGAACGTTGTGATATTTGCGATTTCAAATGTGCGAAAAAGAGTACACTTTATTCGCACAAACGTCAGCATAAAATCGAAGCCTTGAACGAGGTTTATGCTTGCAACGAGTGTGACTTCAAGACGATCAAGAGAACGTCTCTTTATTCTCACATCAAGAGAAAGCACAAAACTACGAGATCATGTACCGGTAATGATCAACCTGAATTGTTCTATTGCAGTCAATGTGATTATAAAAATAAAAACAAGTATGAACTGAAGGTTCACGTAGCCAGAAAGCATACCGACGATTTTAAATTTTCTTGTGAAACATGTGGAAAGAAATTCAAAGTTAAAGGTGATCTTACGAATCACATAAGATTCAGTCATCGAGAACAGCCGGTAATTTGCGACGTCTGTGGGAAAACTTGTTTAAATAGCAATTCTCTTTACGTCCATCAAAAGTTTGCTCACTACAAGGCCAAATACGAATGTCAAGTATGCAAGAGACGAATGGTGAGCCAGGAGAATTTAAATGAACACATGATCAGGCAACATGAGAGAAAAGAGAATGTTGTTTGTGAAGAATGTGGCAAAACATTTTCTAGAAACAGCAGATTGAAGGTTCACATGAGGATTCATACTGGAGATAAACCTTATACTTGTACTATTTGCAGCAAAGCTTTTGCACGTAGAACTGCACTGAAGCAACACCTTCTCATACACACCGGCATGAGACCATACGTGTGTGATATTTGTGGAAAGGCTTTCACTCAGAAACCTGGATTGATTAGCCATCGAAAATCTCATCCTGGATCTCATCCACCTCTACCAAGAGTTCTCATCGATCATATATTAAACGACGTTATGAACAATTGAGACTGATCTCAATTTCGATTTTTCATTAATGGAATTCAACGTGTTTCAGAATTAATACTTTTCATGTGCTTTTTCAATACAGACAAATCGCACAATTCGTGTTTCTGCAATATCTCGTTATTAACCCGTTTTGAAAGACGCTGATAAAAAAAAAAAAGTGTCGAAAGGGAATACGTTAACTTTATTGTCATTTGATCATTATTAATGTTTAGATAGATATACGTGTATAGATATCTTTTTACTTGAAGTGCAATGTTTAAATACTGTTAACAGGGTTCATTGGGTTTTGACTGTTATACATTTTAACAGTTCATTTGTAATCCTTGCAGATTTTCTATAGTAACTTTCTATCTTCATCTGTCTTACAATTTTTCTCGATTATCGATGTTCTTGGCATTAAAAAAAGTAATATTATATTTTATATCAATTATATCCGTATTCACACATTCGTAAACTGATGTATGGAATTATTGAATATAAAGAATCATTCACAAAATGATAAAAAAAATAGCTGAAGAAATAATATATATATATATATATATATATATATATATATATATATGGAGTAAACTGGCGTTTTTCACTAATTAAAATAATGATTTTTGATATACAAATATTTTTCTGGGTGTATATTTATGCATGTATTATATACCAATGAAAATTAAAACTTCTCCAAATCATTTCAGATACGAACAATTAATTTACTAGTTACTAACGAACACCTTTACCTTGGTAACTCAAATCTCATCTTTATTATTACCATTGTATTAAAATATAAGTGACTTAAATAGAAAAAAATCATGAACTTTGAATATATTAAAGGTAAAAAGATCCTGTTATGATTTTAAACGTTTTTCTAATAATTCCTAAAGTAAAAGAATATTTATGCGTTATACAAAATTTTTCTTTTATCTATTTGACGTTAGTCTGACATTGACTTATAATTTTCAGGATTCTAAACGGAGATGGACATTTTGTGTACGGCAAAGAATCGATCCAAATGCAGCCATGGCAAATCGTCGATTTGGATGGCTGTCTCTACTACGCATTTGTTCCAGCTAAACAAGAAAAGAAGTTAATTGGAAGAAAAAAAATTAATTCGAAAACTGATGAGATTAAGAAAGAACTTTTAGAGGAATCCCTACGAATATCAAACGAAAAGGATCTTTCATATACCGAAGAACTTGATACATTTTGCACAATGAAAATAAAGAAAGAAGAATCATCGGTGGACGAACAAGTAATTACAAACGATCAAGAAATTTACGAGGAGGATAACAAAATGTATGCTTGTGAAGAATGCAATATATGTTTTCCCGTAATGCAAATGTTAAAACGTCATAAAAATGCCGTACACGAACAAGCTCAGAGATATAAATGTAAGGTTTGTTTCAAGATTTGTCGTAGCTTGATAGCTTTCAAAATGCACGTAGCCTTGGAACATAAACCTGAGCAAGAAGAGAACGTCGATGATCTAGAAAGCCTAACTTATACGTGTAATTATTGTAATTACGAGAGCACAAATAAATCTACTCTCTATTCTCATATTAGTAGGAAACACTCGACTCGTCGAACCGGTAGAAGAAAGACTAGTCGTGGAATTCTCTCGGAACAGGAAGAATATGCTTGTGACATATGTGAATTTAAATGTCAGACCAGAAGACGTTTGAAGGAACATCTTGAACGTAAGCACGCATCGGAATATAAATATGATTGTGAGTTTTGTGGCAAGAAGTTCAAAGTTAAGGGAGACATGAGACTGCACGTTCGTTTCAAGCATAAAGAAGGCCCTATAGTTTGCGACGTTTGTGGTAAAACTTGTTCCAATAGTAATTCCTTGTACGTCCACCAAAAGTGGGCTCATTTCAAGCCCAAATACGAATGTGAGATTTGTAAAAGAAGAATGGTAACGCAAGAAAATCTTGACCAGCATATACTCCTTCAGCACGAACGACGTGAAAGTTTCGTTTGCGAAGAATGTGGAAAATCATTTTCTGAAAATCATCGATTGAAACAACATATGATGACTCATACAGGAGATAGACCCTATGATTGCCATATATGTGGGAAAGCGTTTGCTCGTCGTACTGCTTACAGACAGCATCTTCTTATACATACAGGAAAACGGCCATATATTTGTGATATTTGTGGTAAAGCCTTCACACAGAAACCTGGACTGATTTGTCATCGAAAATCTCATCCTGGTGTTCATCCACCTTTACCGGTCGTACACATCAAACACATACTTAGCGATTTTATGAAGAAGGATTGATGATTAACAAAAAAAAATAAATAAATAAATAAATAACGGTTCATCGTACTTAATTTTTAAAAGTTATAAATATTTGACATAGTTTTTGAAGATTGGAATGTTTAAAATAAAAAAACAAAAAGATTGTATCTATTCCAAAGCAATATGAGATTTTAATGTATTAAGAGATTTTTATCAATGACGAAAATAATTGATTTTTTAATTATATATATTATGCGACTAAAACTAATGTTTTTCTCTAGTTGTTATTTTCAGTTTCTAAGCTTTTGTCGTGTTTTATTAACTTAAAGGAATTTAAATTAAAAAGTTGTAAAAAATAAAGATACAGTATTGTTTGATCATCCAAAAACTTGATTAGGATTCATTTTGATTTCCGGATTAATTGCAATATTACTTGTAAATTTGACGATTTATAAAATATTTTAATTAATTCATTGTAAATTTTATGATGGCAAGTAATTTTGTCATGTTAATATCGTATGTTACTATAGTAATCATAGCAAGTAATATTAAAATAAGTTGAAGATGTGTTTTTAATAAAGTACACTAATAGAAAGATAAAAAATTTACATTTTTTAACAATAAAAAAGATTAAGTTTTAATAATTTATGTCAGCGGTAAGTAAAATATATATAAACATAAATAATACTTTATTACAATTTTATAATAAAACCGATACTAATTAGTTTCAAGAATGTTACAGCTTATTTTCTTTGGCATTAAAAGTGATTGTTTCAAAATGTAAGTAACTTTTTAATATTGTATATCCATCTTAAAAACATTTAAATAATATTTTGAACAAATTTTATTTCAGAATAACCGACGGAAATAATGAATTACTTCAATGAAGATAATATTTCAAGAATTTTACGAACTATGAAAAAAAAATATGCGGATTTGAAGGACAAAACATCACTATTATTATTGTCACGTGTAAAATAATACATTTACTTGCAATTATCTGTCGTATTTGATTTGTTCATTACCACACAAAAAAACAAAAAAATGAATGAATATTTCTTTATTCTATTAATTTAATATAATACCTAATATTTTTCAAAAAACAGTCTCGCAGCCCTTAATTCAGGGAGTGAGATATATTTAATTATCCGTATCACGATCTTCGTGAGTTATAATTATAAAAGTAAGTAATCACCGATTGTTGTTGGAATGAAACCATCATAAATATGTTATATTTCTTTTTTGTTTTAGAAGCACATCAAACCAGATTGATGATAATCAATCGAGAAACACAAAATTACTTCAAAGTGATATCCCAACAAGAGTTGATACTTCGCAAGGTATGAAATCAGAAATAACATGTAAAAGCAAGAAATCGGAGGATATATCTAATGGTGATTGTATAATAAAGTTGAAAAACAAACGTCCTTTAAAAGAATGTAGACTGACGTTAGAGAATCACAATTACGATTTACGTCAAACAAAGGAGACTTCAAATGTCATTGACAAAATAACAAGAAATCAAGAAGCATTGACTTGCGTGACAAACGACTTCAAATGCAACAAGAGATCAACTATGATAGCTTATCTGGCGGAGAAACACAATGGGAATGGTAGAACGAGCGAAGATGGTAACTGCAAGAAAAAACGTGAATTCATCTGTATCGTTTGTGATGTGGTATATGCAAAAAAGGAAACATTGAGATCACACTTTGTACAAAAGCATACTCAACATTATTGTTACATCTGCAAATACTGTGGCAAACAATTTAAAATCAAAAGTGATCTTACGACTCATACGAGACTGATTCATCAAGAATCACTAGTGATATGCGACGTCTGTGGAAAAACTTGCAAGAACAGTCATAGTTTGTATATTCATCAGAAACATGCTCATTACAAGGCAAAGTTTGAATGTCCAATGTGCCACAAACGTTTGGTAACCAAAGAGAACCTGGACCAACACGTTTTGACTCAACACGAGAGAAAGGAGAAGTCTGTTTGCGAAAAATGTGGTAAAACTTTCATTGAAAATTATGATCTCCGTAAACACATGAGAATTCATACAGGTGACAAACCCTACAACTGTACTGTTTGTGGTAGAGCTTTTGCTACCCACAGTAGTCTTAGTCAACATCTTCTTCTACATACTGGCGAACGAATTTATACCTGTGATGTTTGTGGCAAGTCTTTCGCTCAAAAGGCCGGTCTTATATGCCACAGGAAGAACCATTCAGGAATTCTACCACCACTACCTGTTATACACATCGATCACATCCTAAAAGAATTCAAGAAGAAATGAAAAATCGATAGATATATCCGTTTCTTGTCTTTCGTAGACAACTTTTAGTTAATAATATTTTTTCTATATTGTCAACGAATCTACTAGTATTAATATATCATATTTTTATATACTATAAACGTAATTATGTTCGTAATTATGAACATTTGTGATAGTTCGGAAATTATTCTCCGAAAGAATGCGATTTATTAAAAAAAAAAAAAAAAAAAAAAAAAAAGGAAGAAAAAGAAAACGTGTTCTATGGAATGTTCCAATCATTTTTTGATAATATTTCTTTCATCATAAATAAAAATTCATGCGTTTTATTAGATTGTATGACATTAGAAGCTGATGAAAGGAATTCATGAAACCGAATTTGGTAACATGAGTTTCTTGGATTATGATTCTAGTATGAATACACCGATTCTTGTACGAAAACTAGGCGATAACATATCGACGATGTATCTTTCGATATTAAAACTTACTCACATGTGACTTCGACTCGACACGTACACCTACATAAATTAAAAAAGAAAAAAAACAAACAGAAAAAATAGGATAATCCCTGATATTATCACGATTAGAAAAAAAAAACTATTATAGTTAATTTACACATTCGACATCACAAAACCTGATAATAATTGTTGTCTTCTATACTTTTATAACACATTTAATCGTCGATGTTTCAGGTATGATCACGAGCCTACTTACGACCCTCGCGGTATTTTCATCTACGATAAAGAAACTGTGGTAATGAGGAAATGGCAGATTTTAGAGTTCGATGGAAAGCCATATTATGCATTTGTACCGGAGGGTGACGTACCGTTACCAGACGAAGATATTCCTGAAGAATTGGAGGAGGTTGTAGAGAATGAGGAAGAATTGATGAAGGAGGGAAAGGAAGAGGTAAATGATTTGGTAGAAGACGAGGAAGGTAGCAAGGTACCAAAAGTTGAATGCCTTTATAACGAAGAAAATTTACAATATGATTCGATGGATGAAAAACTTTACGAGGAAGGAAATATTTTTAATGGTAATTACGAACAAAAGGAGGAAGAAATAGACACAAAACCGATCGTACTTAACGGAAGTAACGGGGTAGACGGTAGAAACACTGTAGGAGATTTGTATCAGGTGAAACTTCAAGGTAGCATGGTGACCATAGAAAAGCTTTTTTCTACAGATATCAATGTGAAATCAAACAATAATTTTCAAAGCGAAGAAACTTATAACAATAATGCTGAAGACGAAGGAGAAGTAGAATATCTCGAAAGCGAGATCTTAGGATCTACGAACGATACCGCATCTCCAACGAAAAATCGCAAAAAGGTTTCGAATACTGCACTGAAGTGTAAACTGTGTTCAGAGATGTTCAACTCAGCAATATCCTTTCGAAAGCACGTCGCATGGACTCACAAAAAGAAAGTGTGCATACAAGAGGACGGTGCTTATATATGCGCCGTGTGTGATTATAGAACATTGAAGAAAAGCTTGTTCGCGGCACATCTTGAAAGGAAACACGAAACTTGGTCGAGAAAACGACCAAACAATTTACTCTTTCCCTGTGCCGCTTGTGGATTTGTATGTAGATCCAAACACTCATTACAGTCTCATTTTATAAGGAAACATACGGATCGATATGAACATCAGTGTAAATTTTGTCCGAAAAAATTCAAGGTCAAAGGTGATCTCACGAATCACGTGAGATTCCATCATAAGGAGAAACCATTGAATTGTGACGTTTGTGGAAAACTCTGTCAGAATAGTGGTTCTCTTTATGTTCATCAGAAATGGGCGCATTACAAGCCAAAATACGAATGTCACATTTGTAAAAGACGAATGGTGACCCAGGAGAACTTAGATCAACATCTTTTAATGCAACATGAAAAGAGAGAAAAAATCGTATGCGCGGAGTGTGGTAAAACATTCACAAAAAAAGATTCTTTCAAGAGACACATGGCTGTTCATACCGGATGTAAACCACATTCTTGTCTGATCTGTAACAAACCTTTCGCAAGAAGATCGCAATTGAGACAGCACTTGCTAATACACACAGGAAAGCGACCATTTGTTTGCGACATTTGTGGGAAAGCTTTCACTCAAAAACCAGGTTTAATATGTCATAGAAAGACACACCCTGGCCCTCATCCACCATTACCCGTGATGCCAATCGCGGACATCGTTAAGGAATTTACTGAGGGATACGTTCAAGAGATCAATGCTCGTGAAAACGACGAGAGAATAGTCGAAGAAACATAAAGTATCTTCGTTTAAGCAATTAGGATCACTTAATTATATTAGTTCCGGTTTATCAATCGAAATTTTCCATTATGTCTCTTTTTATTTTTTTTTTTTTTATTTTTTTTTTATTTTTTTTTATTTTTTTTTTTTTATTTTTATTTATTATTTTTTTTTGTTTTTTTGTTTTGTTTTGTTTTTTTTGTTTTTTTTTGTTTTTTTTTTTTTTTTTTTTTTTACAGGATAATCAAACAAGGCACATGAAAGACCTAATAAAATGATTTATTTCGAATTCAATTGATTAAAAAAAATGCTTTTTCTTTTTTTTCTTCTTTTTTTTATATATATATATATAAATATATTTACACGTATATATTTTAAGATTTTCAAGTAATATTTCTCTTGCGATCCTTTCCTGACAACACAATGCACAAAGAGACACGTGCTTAACAACTTTTAAGTTAGAAAAAATCTATCGGACCTTTTAAAACGCTGTTACACTTCAGATAATAGTGAAGAATAACATTTTGTAATTGTAGTTAACATATTTGAAGATAAGTGTAAATAGATATGTAAAAGTCACAACCTACCGCATCCATTTTATAGTTCTCAAGCAGACTTTTAACTAGAATAACAAAGCGAGTTAGATATCAACAATTTGAAAACTGTAATTGTAAGATCAGTGAACATTACCTGACGGCAACGTCGTCATTTAATCGAGTCTTGGTTTTTTTTGTTACCGTAACAATAATAATAATAATGATGATGATGATGATGATGATGATGATGATGATAATGATAATAATAATAATAATAATAATAATAATAATAATAATAATAATAATAATAACAATAAACGTCTTCTCCTGTTAACATAGTTACGTTTGACCAGAGTATAGTTATGTAAAAAAATAGGACATTGTTCGTTGGCATAAACGCATTGTGAGCCCAGACTTTTTTTTATTGAGGATCGCGATGATCTGAGAAAGACTTTTAATTTTCTTAATGCGACAAATAAATAGATTTTTAATGTAGAAGAAAAAAAAGAAAATGAAGAGGGGGAACAAAAGAAAAGAGAGAAAAAGCACTTTATTCTATTATAAAATAATTTTGGTGCCACGATAGCGATAAGATTACAATTTTCCAAATCATCGAATATTTACGAATGATCGAATGATAAAATGATGATAATGATGGTGATATACCTTTAATGTCATGTATGTGAAGTATGTAGACAAATTAAAGATGTTAAATTTCTAAATGTAATAATAATACATATAGCGACTCCCAAACCTTCCAAAAATCAGCGTTAACAGATAAAAAAAAATAAAAAAATAAAAATAAAAAAGAGTAAGTAAGAATTAAAGCAAGACGTTATTATCACAGACTTGAGGATTACAAACGTCCTAAAAAAAAGATTGAGACTGTTTCGTCTGTTATAGATTCCTCATCGATCGCAAAGAATAGAAAGATACGAAATTGTTTCGTAATATAATTGAAACTAGTAATAACGAAATACTTCGCTTGTATGTTTTAGAGTATCCGATCCATTGAGCGTGGACATTAAATCCGCTCATCTCTCTTCGCTGAAACTCGAATACGACGAATGCAACGAAACAAGATTCTTGAAACGAACGGATAACGAGGATAACACTCGAAAGGAAACGTCTGTTTTCTTTGTAGATCGTTTCAAAAATGAAACGACTACATTGAATATCAAAGGGTCATCAAAAAAGAAAATAAATAAGAATGTTGAATGTGATCATTGTCAGCGAAAATTCCTGAAGAAGAGTAACTTGATAGAACATTTGAAACAACACAAACATAAATGTACCGATTGTTCAAAGACGTTTAGCCTTCGACGTTATTTAATCTCTCATACTGAGAGGATTCACCGTCGTCAGATTTACGAGTGTAGCGTTTGCGAATACAAAAGTAATAACAAGGGTACATTGAAGAATCATTATATTCGTCTACATACCAACAGTTATGATTATTCTTGCGATACTTGTGGCAAACAGTTCAAGATCAAAAAGGCTTTGAATCATCACGTTAAACAGAATCACAGTGGTGCACCACCTATCGTATGCGACGTTTGTGGACACTTCAGCAAGAACCTTCATGCGTTGAAAGCTCACATGAAGTACAGACATTATAAACCTGAGTTCGTGTGTCGTATTTGTAGACGTGGCATGACGACTCGTGAAAATCTTGAACAACATTTAGCTTGGCACGAGAACAGAGAAAAGGTTCTTTGTCCCACATGTGGAAAAAGATTCCGAGGTCGTGATCTCGATTCCCACATGCGAATACACACTGGTGTCAAACCCTTTCCCTGTCCAGTTTGTGGTAAATCCTTCAGAAGGCAAACTGCTCAAGAACAACATGTTCTTATACACACCGGAAAGAGACCATACATTTGTGATATTTGTGGACAGGCCTTTGCACAAAAACCAGGCCTAATTTGTCATAGAAAAAGACATCCTGGTCCTTTGCCACCTCTACCAGTAGTGTCTGTTAAAAGTATAGTTACTGAGTTTACCAGGGAATATACAACAAAAAATACGATAAAGATAGAATGAACTTTATCCTTGAATTTTTATTGTGTAAATTAACTTCGACTTTGATCAATTAATGCCGCCTCTTTTTTTTTCTTACATCGAAGAAAATAAGATTTTTTTAGAGCATATATGATAAAAATCATTTAGGATAATCATTTTTGTGAAAGTAGATTAACAATATCAGACTCGTTGATATTTTAATATTAGTGTAGATAATAAGTTCATTTTGTTACTACGCAAGATCAATAAAAATTCATTTCACGAATGTCTAGTAAGTAAATCAATTTATTTCATATTTTTATAAATAATACACCGAGCGATGTTATTGTGATTAATTCGATATACACTATTATTAATTTAAAAATATAATGTTTTTTTATAATAATCTCAATGATCCATATTTTCTAGTTCTTATTAATTCTATATTCAATGAAGATAGTAATTAAAAAGGTAACAATTCATACAATTTTCTCATCCATATTTAATTGGATATATATATATATATATATATATATATATATATATATATATCAAATCCATTATCATTTTAATTATTGGAATAATCAAAATTATATTCAACGATGATGATGTCACATGTATATTATATCTCTCTTGTTCCAGGCAACAGAGGAAGAAATCGCGAGGTGTACACGAGTGTATCAAGTGCCGTGCACGTTTTCGTCACATGATGAAATTAGTTGAACACTTGAAGAATCTGCATGGTATTGAAAGAGCATTCAATTGCGACGAATGTGGAAAAGCCTTTCGTAGTCCAATGAATATAGCACGTCACAAATTGATCCACACCGGTCAAAAGAAATTTGCTTGCGATCTTTGTGATTACGTTTCTAATCAAAAATCAAATTTGGAATCTCATCTTCGAAGACATAGAAAGGATTACGTTTATAAGTGCGAAAAGTGTCAGAAAGGATTCTTTGATAGGGCAGACTATGAGGAACATTTTAACGTACACATCAAAGATAAATTTTATCAATGTGAATATTGTAAAAAAATGTATTCATATAAGAAAAATCTAACTAGGCATTTGAGAACTCAACATACGAATTTGTCCTGTAACACGAATGTTTCAACTACAGCTACGAACAAACTCATTGGCAGAATCAACTTGACCGATCAAAAGTTATTGAAAGATAAAACTTCTAAGTTGATCAAAACGAAATATCTTTGTGATTTGTGCGGTAAAGCATTATCTTCGCATAAGAGACTATCTATTCATAGGCGTGTACATACTGGTGAAAAAATAGCCACTTGTGAAATATGTTCTAAGAAATTTAGTAGTAAAGAAAATTTAAAAATTCATTTGCGAATTCATACTGGAGAGAAACCGCACGTTTGTTCCGAATGCGGCAGACGTTTTACGCAAAGGACATCTTTGGTTATGCATCTTCGTTATCATTCGGGAGAAAGACCATTTAAATGTCCTGATTGTGATAAGAGTTTCATTTCCGGTACGTTCCTTAAGAATCATCGTAAGGTACATGACAAGATTTCCGCCGATAGTAACAAAACCCTTGCAAGAGACAACAGCCATTTAGAATTGAACTCGTCAATTTCTAAAAAGAATATAATATCATCTAAATAGGGACAATTTAAATAATATTTTTACATATTAGAGACAATTACATGTATTCTTTATTTATATTAGTATTAAATATTTCCTACGATCTAACGTCTTGTTTAAATTAAATAGATATGTTCCTTTCCGTAATCAATCGACCGATTGATAAGTGAGACGACGTCTAATACACTGTAAACGTAAGTATCTACGTATCAATCGAAAGAATTCGATTAACTCTGCGATTATAATACAAATATTGTAAGTTTTATTTCTATTCATCATTAAATACAAGCTAGCATACGATCTGATTAGGGTAAGATAATGTATAGTAATGAAGTGTTGAAGATGATACAATAGAAACTCCAGATCCTATTCTCTAAATAACTAATGTCGCATTTTTACAGATACGAGACGAACGAGAAAGCCTGCGAATTCTGCGAACAAAAATTCCACTTCGTAACAAGACTGGTGGCTCATCTAAGGATCGTTCATGGGATTCATCGACCATTCAAATGTATGATCTGTGGGAAAAACTATCCCCAGCAATTCATGTTAAATGCTCATGTAAAAAAATGTCACACGCCGAAAACCGTACCATGTACGCAATGTACTTTTATGGGGGTTGATACGAGCGACTTGGAGAGACACAAAAAGCGTCATCATCGAGAAGAAAAGTTTACCTGTGAGATATGTAGCGAAATATTTACCGAAAAAGTTGCTTTCACCTCTCATACGGCTATGCACAATTTTATGGAGTATCATCAGTGTAACGCATGCGGTGGAACATTTAACGACGTTTACAGGTATCATATTTATTTCTTTAATAAAAAATGATCAATTATTTTTTTAGAAAAAATATTTGACACGTATCTGTTACTTCTAAATCCAAGAGAAAGTGCGTTGTAAATTTATTGTTATCATTTTTTCAGCTTGAAAGAACACAATCGTTTATACCATTATGATCCCAACAGTGTGATAGCGGATGATAATCTTCTGCAATCGGATCGTCAAAGTTCAGAACACAAATGTGAAATTTGTGGAAAAATTTACAAATACAAATCCGTGTTGAAACAGCACAAAGTGAAGGCTCACGGTGATTCGTCGAATTACGAGAGACGTCGTTATCTTTGCGCTCTTTGTGGCAAGGAATTAAAAACAGCAAAAGGTCTCGAAATTCATAATAGATCCCACACAGGTGAGAAACCATACACTTGTGAAATTTGCGGCAAGTGTTTCGCTTGTGAAACTCTTTTAAGGACTCACAATGTCACACATACGGGAGAAAGAAAATATTCATGCGATCAATGCGGTAAAGCATTTACACAAAGATCCACACTTGTCGTTCATAAAAGATATCATACGGGTGAAAGGCCCTATGTATGTTCTCAGTGTGGTAAGGGTTTCGTTACTAGAACGGTTTTGAATACTCACATGAAATCGTGTCGATAAAAAATTGTATTCTTGTTATATAAGAAAATTCGACTCCTCGATTTACACTTCCATGTCTATCGATTTTTATATCCACATTTACACTTGTACGATTAATTTTGATATGATAATATAAAAGTTCTTCCCAGGTGGAAACGAACGATCGAACAACGTCCATATTAATATAAAGTTTTTTTTATACATCGTGTATGTAATATATATATATATATATATATATATATATATATATATATATATATATATATTATATATATATATTGATTTGTACTAATTAAACTAAAATATTAATTATACTCAAAGATAAAACTATAATACCAAAAAGGTAAGCAAGGTGCAATTTCTTCATAATTTTGTATAAATTGAAAAAAAAAAATGAAGAATTATATAAATTTTATATATTGGATATAAAAATGATCTTTGTATAAATTGTATTAAAATTTTTTTTAGGCAACCCTTTTTATTATTAAATTATCTAAATTGAGATGGTATTTGGCTGTACTTTATTTTCTAACGTTAGAAATCGAGAGAGATGTGGATAAATAGATCGGGGATCGTTACAGAGACAACATTCAACGTGTGATTAATAGTACATAAAAAATGAAGCTGGATCTTCTATACGAAAGTCAACTTCTTGCTCGAGCATCTTATGAACATACTGATAGTTTACATCGTCCAATATCGCACGATTCCTGATATTAACGATACGTGGCTTTATATGAATCGTACGAAAATCTATAATGTAATAACGTCTTAGTTCATAATTTCACGTAAATCAATGACAAGGATTGTACTTACAAGTTTTGTGTTCCACTTGTAAATGACAAATATCACGTAAAGTATCAAGGCTCCTCATAATTCCATCATATTGCAATCTAATTAAATTTTTGCACTGAACAAGCATAGAAACAAGTAGATCATCTAATAACTCTCGATTATTCTTAAGTTGCAACATCACTTCAGCTGAAAAGAAAAAAATTAATTTCTTTTTTATTTCTTTAGAAATTTAATTAATTATTTTCATAACGCGATACCTAAAGTGTTTGTATAATGAGAAATGAGAAGTCCAACGGTGCCTCGAAAATTACGAGATCTACTTTGGTCCCAAACATATCCACTGAATAATTGAAACTTAGCAAGTGGAACACTAGGAAGCAACAGGTAGCACATGTCCTCATAATGTGAAATATTTACTGAAAATCAATCTTGAAAAACTAAATACCATATACATACGTAAACTTTAAATAATAGATTCATGTTATCTAGAAATGATAACTAAAAGATAAATACATATAAAAATGTTCATTTTATCTTATAAGATATACCTATTGTATAAGCGACTGTTAAGTTTGGGCAAGCACGTGCTAGATTATTCCAAGAACTATCGGTAACAGTATGTTGTCGAGAATCAGAATCACGGATGGATATGTGCAAAGTTTTAAGAACTTTTGGAGCTCCATTGGCCAAAGCATTTAAAGTATGATCCGATATTGCTGGATAATCCAGTTTCAATAGAGTTAATGCATGAAGACGACCTAATAGACGTAAATATCTAAAACACAAAAGTAAAAATTAGTAATTTTATATATGGGTAACAAATTGTATAGATATATATTTTAATACCTAGGATTGCTATGAGGAGTTTGCCATTGTCTAAATGCACCACGAAGATCCAAAGATGCTAATCTCTCACTGCATCCTCTTGCAGCAGTTCCTAACAGACGCAAAACATCGCTTACACCAAAATTAGCATTTAGTAAACTCAAAGTTTCAAGATTATATTGGCACCTAAAGAAAGATATTCTTCTCTTAATTTCGATCAATTGATAATATTATAAAAACTCTATTACATTACCCGAGAAAATTTGCAAGAGCATATAAAAGTTTGCCCCTATCTCCCCATTTATAACTGAAAACCCAATTAGTTAATATAAGTTCTTTCAATTGCACATTCTTGGCTCGTACAACCGCAAGAAAGTCTGCGCCTGCTTCTGCCTGAATATTACGAGCAGCTCGTGTTTCTCGTGGTAAAATGTATGATCTTGACCAAGCAAGTTCTAAACTTCTCATGTGTTGTCCATATTTAACCTATGAAATCGAAAAGAAGTTCCAATAATTATTTTAAATATGTCGTTTTTGACCGATATTATCAAGTAGATAAAGAGGAAATTAAATGTAAAGTTAAATGTTGACAAAAAAGAGTACTATACATATAAGTTTCATTTGAAATGATTAATAAATTTTTATAATGAATGCATATAAAGAAAATAAAAACCTAGAATTGTCGTACGTACAGCCAATTCTCCCGCCAAAGGGAAATTTCCTCTAAGATCACGATCAATTAGGACTGTGACCGAACGCCATAGAACAGGCGAAGAGAGCGCTAAATTCCATGATCGACAAACTTGAGAAACACTGGCACGATCCCCACGATCAAGATGACTGAATATTTGTATTAATATCAGCTCCGGCAGCTGATCCCACATCTCCCAGATTCAGCTTGGCCCGTCTTCATCTCTTCTAAACTAAAACGTCCACCATTGCAACTTTGTATTTTCTCGTTAGATTTCATGGCCTTCACGATCCTTTTTTAATTTTTTTCTAAACATAAGACGAACGATTCAATGATTCGTGATATATTTCAAATCGAATCATTAATAATCATATCGTTAAAGCCGTTCACTACTTTTTATTCGAAGCCTGTATAACTTCAATGACAAATATGGACAAAATATGAACTACGAATATAAGAGGGGAACGTTTCCTCAGCCATGCGTCTATATCGGTTTATAAGCTTGTTTGGTCATTCTTTTTTTAAGGAAACAATAATTGGTTTCATGTGGGTAGACTAACTATTTTAATAAACTGTGGACTCATTTTTCAGTTTCTCATAAGTATATATTTCTTTGATAGCAGGATGCGTTTCGAAATGATTGACGAGTTAGGTACGCATCTGTTTCACGATAAAAGCATAAAGAATAATAAATATAATTAAAACATATGACAATTAGTATATAAATTTTCGAATTAAAAGAAATTATCTTTGAAGTTAACTATATCTTATCTAATTGCCTAAAAGTATTATTGGCAATCTAAAGCGTTAATACTTTCGTGTATAGACCGAATTAGATTGTAAAAATTTTGAAAATATATTGAAATATGCAGCCATTCGCACGATATTACTAGCGTTGTGTGATATATTAATTATTAGATTTCAATGCATCGCTAGTACTATCGACCCAGGTCTCACTACGTGGAAGTTGCTGCATGTGGAGACCCACGGGCTGACGGTGACTCTACTCTAAAATCCGCGTACCGCGATACCGATCCGCTATACCTTTCCGCTTCAATGCACTGGCTTCTTAACTAACAGGGTATGCGTAGCTTAGCTACTACACACCTCTTACAGATAGCTCCACCATTTGCACCGTCCGCTTCAGACATAACGGATTATTAAGCACATCTGAATTCGTGCTTTCCGAATGACGAACAATCAAAGCGCACTCCTTAAAAATACTAATCGCGTCGCGACACTAACGTGTGTGTTATAATTACGTAGATTCTACTGCTAAGCCGAAATTCGCGAAGTACCCCCATCGAAATTTTGAAGAAATCAAACGAAGTCCACGGTAGGACCTTTAATCGCGCCCGAACACCCACGCGAGTGTTAGAAAAACGATGACTCTACTCTACAATTCGCGTTTTCGATTCGAACAATCAAACGAAGTTTAATCGCGCCCGAGAACACTAACGCCTGTGCCCGCCGACACGCGCGCTAATGTTCTTCCTATCCTTCCCGTATTCGCGCATAGAAATCGATGATGAATCCCGCTATGCGACGACGAATCCGTCCACTGATGAACCTATCCCTCGATGATCTATCCTGAAAAAGAAAAAGCTAAAGAGAAAATAAAAGAACAAAAAAAAAATATTAAACAGAAAATAATATATATATATACATATATAAAATACAAATAGAAAATAAATATATATAAATAGATATGAGACCTAGAAAAAAAAATGAGAAGAGAAGCGGAATGCACCATCCCATGGATTTTAACTAAAGCTGTAAATCATAATGAATAACCATATATTAAAAACATAATTAAAAACATAATAGAACACATAATTAAATAAATAATTAGAAAGAAACAACATTAATAAATATTAAGAATACATAATTAAACAGACATAACATATTAATAACATAATTAAAAACATAATTGAAAAATAAAAATATGAGATAGAAGAGAGAACCAGAGAACAAAAAGAGTGCCGGAGAACGAAAGAGTGCCCCAGAAAACGAAAAGAGAAACAACACCATATGATGCTGAACAGCAACCCGCACAGAAGCCCTCGCCCACAGGCCCCTCCCATGGGTCCCACCCGAGACTAATAAATCATACTAATAAAGCATATTAATCATAATTAATAAGAGTAAATCGGTACGAAAAATATGAAATAGAAAAGAGAGCTCCAGAAAGAGAAGAAAAGAGAAGCAGCTCTATAAGATGCTGAGACAGCAACCCATGGGTCCCACCCAAGATTTATAAAGGATAATTAATGATAGTAAACAAGAAAAAATAGAAATGACACCGGACATTAAAGTGTGATAGAAAAAATTCCTTTTCGTTTCTCTGAGAAATTATTGTACAATAGAATTCCGCCATATTCCTTCTTTTGAAGTATTATCAGTGATGTAAAGTCAAAAAATATTAATGTTCAATTAGGATTAGATTAAAAAGATATTGGAAAAGTAAAAAAATATGCAGCCATTCGCTCAGTAATACTTGCGTTAAAGAATTTATAATTAGAGTATGCAAGTAATACCGACCCAGGTCTCACTACGAGGAAGTTGCTGCATGTGGAGACCCACGGGCTGACGGTGACTCTACTCTAAAATCCGCGCTCCGCGATACCGATCCGCGATACCTTTCCGCTTCAATGCACTGGCTTCTTAACTAACAGGGTATGCGTAGCTTAGCTACTACACACCTCTTACAGATAGCTCCACCATTTGCACCGTCCGCTTCAGACATAACGGATTATTAAGCACATTCGAATTCGTGCTTTCCGAATTTCGAACAATCAAAGCGCACTCCTTAGAAATACTAATCGCGTCGCGACACTCACGTGTGTGTTATAATTACGTATACTCTACTATTAAGCCGAAATTCGCGAA